TCTGATAAACTTATCCACATTTGTGACTTAACTGAAATTATATGTGGCATAAGTACAGCCCTGTTTCTTACTAGGTATGTTTGACCTAAAATAGAGCCTACCTTCTTATCACATGAATCCAAAACATAGGTAGAGAAACAAACATTAACATTGCTTCTTTCAAATTTGTTAGCTGTAAGCTTATTCATAATGCAGGCACTTTATAGATTTGCCTACAACTCCCTTTACTGGCTATTTTCTCACTGAGAGATTTTTTTTTTTTTCCCCACCAATATTATTCTGTTGTGTTCATAACTCCATAATATGCATCCCAAACAATTTGTTGGCTTGATCACAGCTCAGTCAGTCTCCAAAGATGGAAGTAAATTTAACAATTTAACAAAGTGCAATGAAAGAAGTTCTTTATATCTGTGGTTTCAATAAGGGTGTAGATTATAAGAACACTTTCTACCAGATGGTGTGGCATTGTATAATGGAAACTGTAATGCTTAAGAACTCCATTCCTAAGCTAAGCATTCACTTGACTCCAGAGGAAAATTGTGCTTCTATTCTTATGTGTGGTCAGTTGCAGGGAACTTTCTAAGCCTACTGTGCTGTGTGTTACAGAGCCTCATTTATAAACTATTTTTTAAAAACTCCTAGCGCTTTAGTAACTAAACAAATTTCTCCATGTTATTTCTCAGTTATCCTACTATGATCACAGCCTTTTAAATCTAGATAGGAAGATACAATCCTTGCTCATATTACTACAACTCGTCAGGTTGCTAATAGATCAACTCTGAGATAAAAGTTTGCTTCATGCGGAAATTATATTAGTATAGTATGAGAAGTTTGTCAAATAAAAGTAGACTAAATTATGTACTGATCCATTTGGTCCCAATTCTCTGCCTATCACAGTAACATGTGTTACTTTTCTCTGGGCTTCTAACTTTATATTACAGATAAGTTCTGAAGCCATGAGGTGGTATGTAATACAGGTGTGTATGTAATACAGTACTATGACTGGAGATCCAAAAGGCTTCTGTTCTGCACAGTAACTGCAAATACTGTTTACTTCTGGTATCAGTGAAAGTAGTATTAGGACAGGGATTCATCCTCCAGTTTAACCATTTGAAATCTGTGATCTTTTCTATCAGTAAGACCGGTGTCAGGACTATACTGTTTAGAAAATAACACAAATACTGGGTTGCCCTGGAGAACTTAAAGGAAAGCTTACAAATTACTTACACTACAGTTATTCAGAACTCAAACTAAAACATGAGGATAGCAATGTTCAAGTGCTCTGACTTCATATTTCATTGTATGTTGCTTTGTTACAATTAATTTTGATATACCAAGAATTAAGAGTTGATTGCAATAAAACCACGTGGTCAGGTATTTCAAGTACATTTCAGTAAAACCTCTTTTAGGTTCCGTTATGCAGTTTCAGCCAAATTCACAATTCATGTAAGCAGATATAAATCCAGCAGCTTTATCAGGATTAAGGTCTTACAGTTCCGGTAGCAGAATCAATAATGTGACTGTATAAACTAAACGAAGTCTAGCATCTCTTTACAATAAGCTAGTTTGGCTGTATAATTCTCTGATCTGCAGGAACTTTTTCCTTTTACATCTCAAAGCATTAGTCAATAGCCAGAATTAGTCTAATATCCTGTGTTACAATATTTTGTTGTATGCTTACGTTAAGGGTAGAGCTATATAGTACTTCCAAAGTTTTTATTTATCATCTTTCTACTTGCTTGCACTAAAACTGAGTCATGATTCAGTAAGTGATTCACAGGGTAGACCATATTTTATAATGAACTGCAAGATAAAATCACGTTTGTACATATCCAAAGAGATTTGACTGTCTTTTAAGCTTCTTTTAATGCTAATAACATCTGATCTGTATGATAATGTGCAAAAAGAGATAACTTTCTATTGAACACTACTATAGTATCTTAGGGTATTGTATTAAGAAAATTCAAAAGCTCTAATCCATTTTGACAGGCTTTTTTTTTTTTTTTTTTCAGTAATGCCATTTTGAGGTAACGTTTTTAAGGATGCATGATATTTCTGCATGTGTGTACCCAGATGGAAAAATTAAATTACGAAGAGGTATAAGAACTACTTATTAACATTGTGGTTAAAACATACGTGGTTAAAATCAACAGTACTGCGTATATCCAGTTTGCAACAGACTGCAGTTCTAAAATTTGCTATCAGGTCTAGCAGGGTTTTTTTTTTCTTTTTTGAACTTCAGCACTGGAATACAAGTCTGAGGTATAAAGTAACTGTTGGCCAATTAAAGTAATCATCTAGCCTTTCCTCCCCCTAGATATTTCCCTGCCCTCAGCAGAGGTTTTGGGATGGGATGATCTTCAAAGATCCCTTCCAAACCCCAGACATTCTGTGATTCTATTTGATAAGGCAAAAGATACTGCATGCTTAGTCAGTACTAAGAGGAATGCCTGAAGTGCAGCTGGGAACTTGAAAACCAGGTCACCTTTGGGGGAAGTTTCTTTTTTTCAGATCTTGAACTGAAGATTCATTTTTAGGGTCTTTTTCTCCAAAGCTCCGCTCCACCATGTAGTAATGAACTTGTGCCCAACTGAGTCCTCAAGGAAGTGAAAAGTCTGCATATGCTGGGGGTGTGAGAAATATAAATACTCTTAAAAAAAAAAAAATAAAAAATAATAAAAAAAATCCGAAGGTGTTGGGGTATGAAACAGCCACATATCACACATGCTGTGAGTCTACAGCATATATAAGTGTGTGTCGTGTTTCTGAACCACTTGCAGTCTTGCTTGAAAAACACATCCATGCTATCACTAGTTGTGGATCCACTAAAAAAGTTTGTTATGCAATGCTGAAGCAGAGATGTGTCACCTGGAAAGTACTGACATTTAAGGTATTGCCTAGTAGTTTGGTGTTTTTTTTTTGTTTGTTTGTTTGTTTTTTACTGTATGCTGTATGAGAGCTGTTGTGATAGTAATGCCTCCCATTATATTAAGTTGGTCCTTGATGTCAGAGGTGGATGTTGGTGGTATGGAATAGAGATTGAACCTTCCCACCAATACTCCATTGCAGTTTGTTGCCACGTGACAGATGGCAGCAGAGGGGCAGTCTGACAGGTTGGAGTCTGACACGGCATGGAAGTATGTATGAAGCAGAAGAGTGGAACTGAATTCCTCTATGTGGAAAAATGGCACCCATTGATATTCATTGATGGTTGCTGAATGTTTATGAAGATGAAACACTGGATGTTAGCACAGTAAAGCAGTGGGTGGCACATTTCAGCTCTGGTGACAGTGAAATGAAAGACCAGCCATGTTCTAGACAGCCATGCACACCTGTTGTATTATGAAATGAAGACTGCTCCAATGAGCTCATCCACATGAATTTGTGGGTTTATAACCAAGAGTTTGTACAGAACTGAATATCAGCTTAACTGTATTGCAAATGATGGAGGCAACACAGGAGTTGGATGACTTTTGTACCAGCTGGTTTCCACAAATGCTTACACTGAAACAAAAGGACGCTGCATGCTAGTTGGTCAGGAATTGAACCAATAGAAGGCTGGAGGTGACTATTTCCCAGATCGCATCATTACCAGTGATGAGACAGGGAGTCATCGCTACAAGCTGAAGTCAAAATGGTAGTCCATGGAGTGGTGATGTGAATTCCCCATTGAAGAAAAAGTTCTTTACGCAGCCCTTGCCAGTTAAGTGATGTGTGCTCTTTCAGAGCAGGAAAGGCACAATCTTTGTGAATTTCCTGGGGCCCAGGCAAGCTGTCAGTTCTGACTGCTATGTCACATCACTGACTAAGCTGAGGGCTCAGACTTAACACTCAGGCCAGAGAAGAAGACAACCTTTCTCTTGCAACGCACAAATGCCAAGTCCCATACCAGTTTGAAGACTGTGGAAGAAACTGCCAATTTCAGCTGGACTGTCCTACAATACTCCCTGTACAGTTTGGGTTTGGCACCTTCTGGCTTTCACTTGCTCAGTTCAGTGGAGATAGACTGTGTGAGCAACGTTTTTCTAGCAACAATGCAATTGTAGCAGCTGTAAAACAGTGGATCACCTCTACTGGTGCAAGTCTTTATGCGCATGGCATGCAGGCTCTTGTTCATTACTGGCAAAAGTGCATACTTAATAGAGATGACTATGTTGAAAAACAGCATTATGTAGCTAAGAATTTGCTCTCTCAAATAGTGTTATTGTATTCTTTGTATCTGTTGTAGTTTCCATGGTAATAAATAGGAGGCATTACTTTAGGATCTACCTCTATATATAGGATATCAGATATGCTTTTGGCTTTTTCATCATTCCTCATCTGCTTTCAAATAGCAAAACCAACTTCCTTGTTGATTTCCTCTGCAGCATGCAAAATTTTCAGATAATACTAAATTAGAGCCTGAGCCAGAGAAGCAACTTCTACAGCAGGTGACCATTCCCTAAACTTTATAGCATTGAGTTATGGCCCCTATCTCTTGAGTCATTTCTCAATTTTTGTGGAGTTGAATATCCTGCCTGCAAATCTCTGTATGGAATAGCACATTAAAGCAGTTAAAAATAACCACTTGCTTCAGAAAAAGACTTTGTGCTTACAAAAGTTGTGTACGCATGGCTGTACACATCACTCCCTCACAGTGTCTTTCTAAAGTTCTGTCACTATTCAAACTGTGCTATGCAGAAATTAGTTACGCAGGAGGGAAAAAAAAAAAAACAACACAAAACAAGCACATTAACCTCAGGTGTGCTACAGAGATCTGTAGTTTTGGCTTTGGATGTGAAAAATTAGAAGTTTCCTCCTGGATATCATGGTGCAAGATGATGAGAGACATTGGAAAAGCCTGAGGTACATTTTACTGCTGAAGTTTTTAGATATAAAATACTTGAGTAAGTCTTGAGTACAAGTCATCTTTTTTTCTACTAAAAGTAGGCAATGAATCTGTAGTTGCTGCAGCTTGAGTTTGAATTCAGACTTTTGTCTGAGAATAATGACCTCTGAAAAGGAAAAAAATAGATAATAGTAAAAAAGTTTATTACATTAATAATATAATAAAATGCATTCTCTGTTTTTATGTGCTACCTTAAAATACACTGGCCCAAAACTGTAATGAAACATAATGTAAAACAGTACCAACACAAAGCTGTTTTTATAAGAAATAATATTGGTCAGAATGCTTGGAGAAATAAGTCTCCTTTATCATCACAGTCTCCTTTATATCATCACAGAAGCTTATAGCTGCTTTGGCTGAGGAATCATGAACAGGTATCTCCAAACCATTTTCACAGTGCTTTTAATATAAGGGTTTGAATGATTGCACAGTTATAACGAGCAAAATCTTTCTTAGTTCACCTGATGTTAATCTATGTATTTGTCCTTTTGTTTTGAATTGCTGTTAGTTCGGATGAGAAGCTGTAAGACCAGAGAGAAGTTAAGATGAAAGCTGCCGCGTGTTGTTTCACAACATTTCACTTTCTGAATTGCAGTACCCTTCCTATTAAAGATCCTCACGTAGACAGTGCATCTCCGGTGTATCAGGCTGTTCTCAAAACTCAGAACAAGCCTGAAGATGAAACTGAAGACTGGAGCCGCCGTTCTGCCAACCTGCAGTCTAAGTCTTTTCGCATCCTTGCTCAGATGACTGGAACAGAGTTCAGTAAGTCAAATAACAAAGCATCTTCCTCATCCTGGCTTTAGATTTGTCTCTTTATTTTCTTATCCTAACGCTGGTGACTAATACTTGGTTCACATTCTTCTTGCAGTTGTTGTCACGGAGGGCTAAGAAGCCTTATATATGTAAATTAAGGGAATTAGGAAATCCGAGTTTTGTGTCTCACCTTATACTTTATGAAGAAAATCTTTGATCTGCCAAGGGTCTCACCAAAATAAGTATAAGACTGTACAGTAAAAGTTTATCTGGGACCATATAATCCTTTCTTACAAATGTAATCTATGCACAGTGACCCTTCCAGCAGTTATACATAAAAGTCTTCAATTCATTAGAGAAAGGATAAAGCACTTAAGTATCTTGTAACAGACTTTTATAGAAGTGAATTCCTGAAGTAAAAAACAAAAAACTAGGGATCATTGTTTGTACTGTACCTATGTTCCTCTATCAGCCTCTAGTCTAAACCTAAATCTTTGGTGAACATTGTATGAGTTTGAACTTCTTTGGTTATTGCCTACAGAAATACTTTTCTGACCATCTGGTGCTAAATTCAGATCTTGTTTCTGTTCTAGTTTAAGAACCTTTCCAACATCACAGAGAAATATTTAGTTTTTTCTCCTTGTATTAATCTACTGCTAACGCTGACGTGATTCCACAGAACAGCACAGAACAGCAAGCCCTCTCTGCAGGGTCGTTGCCTACAGCTATGAAATGCTGCTAGTAAAGGATGTTGTAGTAATAGCCGCTTTCCTAAGATCTTTCTGCCTAGCTCTAGGGAAACTGCTCCTCTTCTCACTGTTACAAAAGCCACTGCTGTAAAGTCAGCATCAGTGTACCTTTAAACAGGCTTTTGACGCTTTTCTGAAGAACTTGTAATTTTATCACGTAGCTGATTATTTCTTTCTTCATTTCTGTTCTAATGGAAATGGTTTTTTCCTGCAGTGCAAGATCCAGATGAAGAAGCCCTGAGGAGATCAAGGTAAGAGACTCCTTGTGAAAAACATGGCTTCTGTCCCTTGTGATAACCAAATAATGTTTTAAAACAGCATTAATACTAGCATATACAACTATTTTCTTGCCTTACACATTGTCTCTAACACAGTTACTTAAAAATAACTAAAATTAAAATGCTATCCGTGAGAGTAATTTGAATGAAAAGGGTTAACAAACTGGCATGCATTTAAGGCAGTACAAAAAAGTGTGTTCAAATCTGAAAGCTCCCTGCCCATGCAACTTTTATGTACTTTACTGTGTGTGTGAATGCAGCGAGATTCTAAGACCAAATCCTGTGTAACTGCTTGATTGTGTAACTGTATGAGAATATGTAATGTTGTGATAGCATTGAAATTTATGTGCAATTTATTTGGATGATCCTGACTGACATCTGATTCATCTGAAACAATACACTAAAGGAGCTTTTTTCTATTCGTATCCATAATCATTTGCTCACGTTCTGTTGGAAGTGTAACCAAAACTTGCATAATAAGGAAGCACAGGACTGCTTTTGCTGAGGTGAAATATATTTGTCTCCTTCTATGACCTAACAATAATGCTGATAAAATGAGTATGCTCAGAAATAAAACAAGGAATTAAAGGCCTGTGATCATCTTAGGTTTTCCTATACTGCCAGGGATCCACTTTTTGTTACATTATTGTGTACAGCTTAATAACTTAAGTTGAATTGGAGCATCCTGCATGTAAGCCTGATTTTCTATTTCCATACTTCAAACTCCTATTTCACATTAGCTACTCTACACCACTAGTTGGGTTTGTGATTTCTGTGATATTCAATCCACTTGCTCTATTTTGTCATCATCATCTTTTTACCAGCATGTTTCTTCTATGAATACTTTGAGCTTTCGATCACAGTCCAAGCTATGAAGTTGAGCTAGTGAGAAAGATGGCTGTCATTTTCCCTATGAAAATACAGTATGCAGAATTCCAGTTTTATGTCTGCCACAAGCCTTTTATTGCAGTTCACCGAAGTTCATGGGTGGGTGCCTGAACATCGGGCTTGGCATTACATCCCCGCTGGATTCATTTCTCCTATCAAATGTACACGCCTAACTCTTAGAAAATGTACCCTACGTTACATGTTTTGATGTAATAGCACACATGTGAATCCTTACTACGGGGGGGTTTGAAATACTGTAGCAAATGTAACAGTTCTCCTATACACACATCTGATAGTAATATATTTTATTAAAGAAGTGATCTTTCTGGATGTAGTTTCTGGCTTTGTAAAACACTAGATAGTGGAAGTTTAATGTGATATTAGGTGGATTGCAAAAGTTAGTACATCAACATGCATAGTGTAAATTACATTTTTTAGTGTAACTTAAAAGCACATGACTGTATTTACTATGCATTGCACATTTTCTGCAGTTTTAATGTATTAATGCTACTGTTTTTGTTTTTGTTTTTTTTTTACCACAAGGACAGTAATGATTCTGAGTATATTTAAGCATATCTGGATTACCAAAAGAAGTTTCAGGACATTCTTTGTTAGTAGAGGCAGAAGGGAATATTGTAGTGGATAGTTAGTAGTAGTGTGTGTATAGTAATACATCACAAGCTCTGGTGCAAGAAGTGAAATAGGGCCTCTTTCATAGCAAACTGATAGTACTTGCCTCATCTTGGTGCCCTGGTGCCTATTTCATACATTATATGCACCCTACCCACAGATTTTGTAGCACAGGCACTGGTTGTGCATGCGTCCATCATATGTTTTCTTGGGTTGATTGGACCTCTCTCTGTTTCATCTTTTGATTTTGGAAAGGGTGGAAGAAGCTATGTCAGATGCACAGAATTAATACTTGAACTTCACTCTACCATCATAATAATGGTAGACACTGTACAGCCTGTACAACCAGGTTTTGCTCCATGCCCATGGTTAGGAGATCAGCTGGAAGGCTTCCTGGGCTCTCAAACGCAAAAGGCTGTCACAGAATTGTGGGGTGTGAAGCTTGTCAGGTTAAATGTTGCACTGATCTTGTTTTGGCTTTATGGAAAAAAAAAATATTAAATGTTTCAAAATGTAAACTGCCAGAATGAATGACTTTGGTCCTAGAGCATGTTGTGAGCAGTCACCCTCTGGTGCTTTCCGTTGTCTCTGTGTCAGTTCTTCAGTGTAGTCAGCAAGAGCTGCATGAGACGGCAGTAAGATTTCCTCCGAACACTTGGAAAAAGGAACACGTGGCTCACTTTTGGCAGGCTCATTTTACATAAAAATAGTCACTTTTGGATTGCTGCTTCTAACTTCTTAACATACGCTTTGAGTGGTATCGGTAAGACTTAGAATCTTCAGGAGGCAGAATATTTATTTTCTGTTAACATCACTGAATGCAGAGCATGACTTCCTTTTGCTCATGTTACTGCTACTTTGAAGGCGCACATACGATTATAACTTGCTGTGGAAACATTAATTTGCTGTTGTGATGACTGTTACAGAACAGTTTCCAGAAAGATGGTATCTGTTTCAAGATTGGCAGGTGTTTCTTAATGCCATTTCCTTGAATGGAGGGATACATTTTTAAAGCAGTGAGGGAGTTCATGAAATTCAAGACCCACTGTAGCTAATGCACTTCAGTGTAACTGGAATAAATGCCACCATACACTTTTAGTGGTTCAGCAATAAATACTTTTATATTTTTAAGTAATTAAAAGATAGTTTAGGAAGTCATACATAAAGACTCCCTTAGATTTAGAAAGAAAATTGAGAAATATCAGTGAATTTGTTGATATTTACACTGTTCAATGTCTTGTGCTATATTCAGCCTGAGGAGTAAAACCAGTTTGGTCTGTTCCTTTCTTTTCCACTGATTTCACTCTCAAGTTCTGCTACAATTAACAGAGTTAACTTTGAGTTTAAATAATAGGCAGAACAGGTAAAATAATCTGTTTGCAATTGATCAAATAAATTTGTAAATAACATACTTCTCCTTGAGTACACTCTCATCCCACATCCTCCTCCATCCACTTTTTGTTTGCAAAATCTTAAATTAAGCTATAGAACATCTAGAAAAAGTTAAGGTCTGAGAGGTGCTGAACATTGCTTACAACTTGCTCAAGAGCACCAGACTGCAGTCAAAACTGGCAGGGGGAGGTCAGTTATTCACAGGACTGCACTTTTGAAAATCCCAGGTTATTCTGCTCTTCAACACAAATGATCAGAAATACCTGTACTTGCTTCTGTTGAGAAACCTGTAGAAACTACTGCTGAATGCTGCATCTGATGGCCTTATAGGACAGCATGAGAAATAGATATAAATATGCTGGCCTATGTATTAGTTACGGAATGGAAAATATTTGCAATAATTTTGCTCCTGTACTGAATCAACTTTAAATGACTGCTTGGGTTGGGGAGGGGAGAGCCAAGCGAATCTGCTGGCAGGAAAACAATGGGATTGCACTGCATTTCTAGCAAAAGCAGACCTGTAATACCAAATTTAAGTCATAGAATATAAAGTTACTTCAAATTACTCCTCAGAAATGAACAAATGCAAAAATATTCATTCATGGTCTAAAAAGGATCGTCCAGCTTTCTTTGCACTGATTCAAAAGCCGGGGAAACAAATCCAAATAAATTGCCATTGCCCTAATTATAATAAGGCAGGGGAGTGGTAGCCATGTTCCCTAATCCCTTTCTTTCTCCCTCCTTTCTTTCTTCTCTTTGTCTCTCTCTCTGTATCTCTCTCTCTCTCTCTCTTGCTCTGTCTCTGTCTTTCTCTCTCTCTTTCTTCATGCCACAGGGAAAGGTTTGAAACGGAACGTAACAGCCCACGCTTTGCCAAATTGCGCAACTGGCATCACGGCCTGTCGGCGCAAATCCTTAATGTTAAAAGTTAAAAGCCCACATTCAGTGGGCAAAGATGTGAGAGAGAATTACAGGAAAGAAATAACTGCTATCCTGAGTTAAAGCCTAAGAGTGTAACACACGTACAGGAAAGATGATTGCTAGGTTGTTTTTATTTTTTCTGAGTGCCCGTCTTTGGTAGTTTTCTGTTGTTAGCCTGGAATTCACTCACTGTCACCAAAAGCAAAAATAATCATACTGCCTTGTTCACGTTCTTTGGTATAAAGTAGATTAGCTTTTGTCCTTTACGATATCAAATGCAACTTCAATATACAGATAGAAGGAAAAGATCATTGTGTTACTTTTTTGACTTTACTTACAGGAGAAAATGAAAGTTATTCACAGTGTTTCTTTAGGAGAGAGACTTAGGTTTTATTGACTTTTATTGCTGTAAAGATAATTAAATATGAGAACATAGGATGAAAAGGAAAGCTGTCTGAGCCTGGCCAAGCGTTTGCTAAATGTACAACCTGCTTAGTTCACATAGTCAAACGATGCTGTTTGAAATAAGACTTAAGCGTTATCATTTTTTCTTCAGTATATAATGCTAGTAAAACTTATTTGATAAGACTACTTGCTATAATATTTGAAATCTGAATTTGTCATTGGATGAAGGATAGAATGTGGTTGTTCAGGACCTGCAAGGAATTGACTTTTTGCTAGAGGTGTTTAGGAGTAAGACGACATATATAGTACTGTTGGTGCACTGAGGTTTATAAAAGCAACTCCGAAGTTCAAAGGGACATGTTGCCCATTCTGTATTGCTCTTGCTTTGACCCACATTTTTTTTTCTGTATATAGCATCATGCTTTATCTCAAATAAACGGATTTAAAACTAAAATAATGATGTGCCTGTTTTACACAGTACTTCATTCCTTTTTAAGACAATTCTTCAACTGATTCAACTGATTGTTGAAAAAAGGTGCACTTTTCTTTCCACAGTAGAAAATTTGGTCAAAAAGCTTTTCCCTCTTCGCTGTAGTTCTTACTGACCCTTAAACTATCTGAACTAGAATCAACCTGATAAAATAATTGAAATAATCTTTCTTACTTGTGAAAGAGAACATGGCATAATTAATAAATGCTAGATGACAAGACACTGATAATACCTTTACAGATTTCCTTTTTAATAATGTACATTCTCTGACACATTAATGTATAAAGGCCCTTGAGACACTGCTGGTGAAATGGGATCTTTCTATTTGAACAGTACAACAGTGCTTCAGTTTTAAACTGTGCTCATCAAACTGAGGTACATCTATCCAAAAGGCCCCCATGTGCTTCTGTTTTTTGGTTAAAGTACACCCAGAGAAGTATCACTTCTAGTTTATGCTCTGATCATTAAATGATAATAAAAAAGTATTTCAATTACATCTACATCTATGGTTTCCATAGAAATGGTTGATATGATCCCTTAGCAATCTGCATTAGCAGACCTTAGCATTGATTAAAACTGAAGTTTCTGCTAATAAAGCAACAAAAGGTTAATTCTGTTGCAGATTTGCTTATAGCCCAAATAACATTTTTTTTTTTTAAATTATTCTTTAAATGGCAGGCTAGCTTATTTTATCTGGTAGCAGTAATTCTGACCAAAGAAATTAACATGTGAATTTGAAATTCAGTGAAAACATTGAAATAATTTTTGAAGCTTTTGAACATCTGCAATTTATATTGGTGAGAACAAAACATGCTGAAACTCTCATTTTGTGGGCAGGAAAAGCTGGTATTCTTGAAGGATTTTGCATAAATTGACGAAATATGAGGGTTTAAAGAATTAAAAAAAAAAATTAAAAAAAAATTAAAAAAAAAAAGGAAAAAAAAAGTTTGACTTGTATTTTAGAGTACAAGGACAGCAGTCCATTTTAAAATGTACTTCACTTTTTAAAATATAAGTACTGTAGCAATTGAGTAAACATTCCATTTAATGTATAGTGTTCATTCATATTTTCCTTATGGGAATGCAAACAAATTCCAATCCTATCTCAATAGTACCTGTGGACAATCAGCATAAACTGATACCAGCACAAAAGAAGAGTAACATTTTCACTTCTCCTGCGTGTTGCTAATATCAGACATCAATTCAGAATGGGTAAATCTTATTTATGTGTAGATGATTTTAGGAGAATTTAAACTGTAATTATGCAATTTACTTGTTTTTAAACAGATAATGAATGTACCTAAAGAGAAAGTCTTCATTCTAGTATTCAACCAAATTAAATGGTTTTCTGAATAAATACATGATAGGAGTTTCACTTAAATAGGAATTGGGTATCCTTAAATGTTTTATGAACATAATATGTGGATACTATTTCTTTCAAATAGTTCTAGTGCATGTACTATAATGAAAATGTCTGTACTATATCTGAATATTTATGTCATTTTCAAAGATACTTTTAAATAATCAGAAAAGCACAGTTTGGTTAGTAGTGAAATTAATGCAAATGTAGTTAAGGGACATCTTCCCCTTATTTCTGCTTCTGTGGATTTAACAATAGTGCACATAAGCCATGTAATCATAACGAGAGAGTTATAAACCATTTCCCTGGAGGACAGAAAATTAACTGTCAGTACTCTATGAGCTTGTAGAATTTCAGTCCTTCATGTAACCACAGGAAAAAGTAATAGAAAAAACTCTTCAATAGTTGGTAATTTTTTGAACTTTTAAAATGAGAAAAATCCTGTAGAATTTGCCGTCTTTAACCCCTAATGCAAGGTTGTTTACTACAATATCTTTCTACTGATCCAATCCCTTTAAAAAAAAAATTAATTTTTTAATTTAGTTTCTTGTTTATACTTAACCTGGCAACCCCTTAACTCTTACACCTCAAAAATCTGCTTTTATGTTGTCCTGGTGATCTCCAAGCCCCAGAAATTCATGCTGCAAATATTTCCTCGTGTAAATGCTAACAGGCTGTGTTTTTCCTTCCTGAGGAGGAGGCAGGTTTTTTCTGTAAGATGGAGAAGCTGGGCTGCATTTGTCATTCTGTTATCTCTCATTGCTGGAGACTATGACAGGCTTAGACCTGATGAGAATTCATGAATAGTTATGAGAGTCTGCTAGCTTTGTTTTGGCTGGAGGTCAAGTTTTCCTGTTTTTAATATGTCCAGGCTTATCTCATTCTAAGTTGCCTCTGATCAGTCAACCTCATCTTTCACTGTTTCTTGACCATTTGCAGAAGTCTGCTGTTTTCCATAGGAAAACTAGTCTCAGTTAATGACAGTAAAACTTAAACTGGGTTCCTGACTGAAGACTCAGTGAGTCATGTAGTTCTTTAAAATGGCTTTGATGATAGGCAGGTATATCTGCTCTACGTTGAATATATTTTGAATCATGACTCTTACATCGAGTGGAGGACACTGAGATGGTGATGAGTGTCTTCTACGTAATCTCCATGCCAAAAAGGATAGTAAAACGCAGGATGCAGATAGAGATATTAGTCCCCTGTCCTTCCCAGTGCTTCCAGTGAAGCCTTAGTGTTATAAGCATTTAACGAAGATACAGCAAAGCTGATGCCACTAGGAAATCAAAACCAAAAGGCCTTCCAGGTAAATCTGCTTGTCTGGTTATGACACAGGGAAATGCTCATTTTCTGCTGTGGTATAAGACCGTTTGTTATACACTAACCTTTTTCCTGAATATTGCTGCTTTGTCTCCTACACAAATGGTCTCTTCCTCACCTCTTAGAGTGCTTAGTTTGCAGCAGGACTACTGACTGCATGCAGGGCATGCTGATGGATGTGGCAAGTGTGTCTTTAGGAAAGCAGGCATGAGAAATTGACCTCACTTCCTTTTGTGCATGGAAATCAAGAGAAGAAAAGTTCTGTGGCTCCTTCTCTTGCCTCCTTCTTTTCACACCTGCCCGCATGGATAGGAGAGGGAATTTTTTGTTACGTAATAAACGTAAAGGTCACTTTCTCTTCATTGCTGTTTATTTCTCATTATGCACAATGGTGTGGAGTGTAAGGGACAGGAATTCTAGGGAGTGCTTTATCACTTTTGAGAAGCGTATCTCATCTATCACAGAATTGTCTAAAACCTTCTTAGTAAAAAGGAATAAACAGGAAGGGGCGACCAATCTTTCACTTGTACTTTCAGGCTCCTGCAGGGAATAAGCTGATTGATTCCATGGCTTCTTTAGAAAATACTGGGGCACTTGCACAAATTCTAATTTGCAAATGTAAAAAGCTAGAATCTTGGTATGGTACATAATAGTAGTAGTTCTTGTGGTAGGTCTTGGTAAAACCAATTAATAGCTTTCATTAATCAGCCTTTTATTAGAGACCTTCTCCAATGTACATGAAAATGAATTGACTTAAGTTTGCTTTCAAGAACAGCGGCCTTATTCTCATTTCCAAAGCTATCTATCTGATACCACCAAGACAAGATGTAAGGTACTTTGATCCTCTTCCTTCATATGCCAAAATTTACAGAGGTTAGCATGGCTTCTTTCTGCACACTAAGCAGATTACCAAAAATCCTCCCAGAGTATAGCTTACTTTTCTATAACAGCACACAAAATAAAGCAGAGTTTGGTATCTAGCTTTTTCACTTCAGCAACATTACTACAGTAAATAATATTAAGTAAATCTATTTATTCTTATCCCTGCTTACCTTTTAATGTCTGAAGAGCAACAAAGCAAAACATTGCAATAGCAAATAAACTCGATTGTTTCTAAGGATTTGTGAGTGAATCCAGAAGGGTAAATTGATCGAGTATGTCTTCCTTCCCCAAAACACTCCTTGAAGTTCAATGGGAAAAGTGAATTTAGATATCATAGATGGCTTTTTTTGAAGCCAGTTCTCTGTAGAACAAATTGCTCAAAGGTGGGAGCCGTGAGGTCTATCGTATCCCGTTGAATGCACTCACTTATAACTGAGGGAGTGAGATGGAATTTCATATGAAATTAATAAATTCAATGGAATAGTAATAAAGTAAGTAACACATAAGAATAATAGAGACTGTCGACGCTCATGATTCACTTTTGTGTTCACTTTTTGGCTGTAGTGAGCTGTGTTTTAATATCTCTTACTTATCATCTCAGTCTTTTGCATGTTCATGGTCAGCACTTGCTTCTTCACTGGCAGAAACGCACACTGCTTTCCTTCCTTCTGTGGAACTGTATGCATCCCATAAGTATACATATGCCTACACACATCCTGCCACTGATGCTCATGGCTAACCAAAATACCAGTGCATGGCACAGCTTTCTCTTACTGTACTGTTTTCTTCCACTGCCTTCAGTCTAACAAGGAAAAAGCAGTTCTTGCATGTAACAGGTTTCTAAGAGGCATGTGTAACCTGGAAGCACCCAGCTGTGGTCTGTGGATCATCTGAGTGATTCACAGAGCCTTGTGTAAGATGAGTTGGAGAACTGGCCGATGGCTTAGCACTGGCTTCCTTTTTCTTTGTTTCTAAATTGCATTAATGTTAACAGAATTATATTAGGTACTAATAATTTCCTAATAGTTCATTTCCATGTAATCAATTGTTGACCCAGAATGTTATATAATTACCAATGAGAGGAAGGGAAATAAAGAAAACTCTTAAGGGAATCTGTGAAATAAAACGTAACCCATGTTCTGAAAAAATACTGACAACTGCTTTATCTCATACTTGGTTATTTGTCTTAAGAATCTAAGCAAAAAGGCATAGTAGTGTATCTGAGTGCACAAATAAAAAATTGGCTTGAAAAACTTCCAGCTGACAGTAAGGAGGTCTATGAGTTCTCTCAGCTTCTCTGAAGCAATGTGAAGTTTCAATAATGAAAACATGCTTCAGTGAAAGGGGAATCATTTCCCAGCTTAGGTATCCTTTGGTATCTGAACCTGTGCACTGTCCTTGTCTACAGTGGTCCTAAATACAATCTGAAAGATTCCTATGTCAGGTTCCTGCTGGCAGATATTTGTGCTTTACCAGTAGAGTTCTTGAACAGTAGAGGGAAATGTTCAGATCTGATTGCAGAATTAAGGCCAAGATAGGGAAAGTTATCTGCAGTTTTTTGTTTGTTTGTTTTGAGCTGGAATATATCCAAGCTCAAGATGTTCCATATACTCAGGATTTTACAGTCTTTGTTCTTACTAAAATGGTGCATTTACCAATAAGATAAATTGGAGAGCATACTTGCATGTCAAATGTCTCTATATAAATCTTGGACAAATTACCTCAACACACACAGCACAGTTGCTGCTTTATTTCAATTTCAATTGAAATAGTTTTCAATAATTATTTGAATGCTTAATGCGATAGCATATTACTAGATGCCACTAAAATCCATAGGAGGGATTTGCTTTGATTTAGTGAGCTGCTTTGACTGAGTTCTGTAGTACCTGTTGAGAATAAGTACCTGTATGGTTTTTTTTTAATGAATATCTGACAGTGCTTTTCCTATTCTATGGCACTGTGTGTGCAAACCAAAGCACCTTCTGGGAGAAATGGATTTTCCTGTTTTGAAAAGCAGACATATTAGCAGGTTAAACTGCAGTTGTTTTGGCGTGGGCTGCTCACATTCTTAACTAAGGTGGCTGAAAAAGAGAGACTAGCTATTCTTCTATCCCAAGCTAAAGTTTGAACTAAACCAGCATGATACCAGCATTATCTTCTATCCTTTCCAGTTAACTGCCTATGATTTTTTTGTGTGTGTCCTGTGGTGTCTCTGTGAAGGTAATAGTTTGTTGCAGTTACAAAAACATAGCATTGGGGATTAAAAAAAAAAGATAAGCCATCTCAATGGTTTTATATCCACGTGTTAATGGAAAAATTCTCAGCTCCAAACACAAAGGTAAAAATTGCCTTACCGAATCAGAACTGGATCAGCAGTTACCATGGCTCAGTAAAGAGTGTCCAACAGCATCAGGATTTCTTGCTGTCAAGAAAAAAATGTTTGGAAGGCAATTATTAAATAGCCTTCATTTAATTTTATTCCCAGGCACCCTAAAAGAAATTTCTGAAAAAATATTTTGTGACTTCAACTTCTTGAAAGGAAATTTGATTTCTAAGAGAATGTGTTTATGTAAATGTAAGCACGTAGTAGGATAAAATCTATTGGTCTAGTTAGGAAAGGTCCTGCAAATTCACAATAAAATGCTAGAAAAAGAATTTTTTAATTTAAGAGAGAGAGACCCTAATAATCTGTAATTCTTAATAAATACTTCCTCTTTTAAAAAGAGGCCAATATATGTTTCAGGTGTCTGCTTTGATAGAAAGCTACTGGGTGATCTATACAAGAAAATACCAATAGTCTGCATACTAACATTTATAACAAATCACTCCATAATCTCTTGCTAAAGAGAATGAGTTGATGTTTACAGTGCTCAGTTAGGGATTCAAATGCTGATTCATTTCAATTCTCTGCCCTGCCATGGACCTTCTATTTGGTCATTAGTAATTCTATTAAGAGTTAGTTCCTTGTGTGTAAAATGCAGAAAAAAAAAATTCTGCAGGAGAATGCTGAGAATATATGTGTTATATTCTCAGTACTGCTTCAGTATTGAAACACAGAAAGGAGTTGAAGGACCTTGTGGTCTCTTAGGATGCCAATGTTTCCTCATAACATCAGATCTTCATTATAGATTGATTCTCTGTCTAAAACATTTTGATGGCACAGAGAGGAGCTGTTCAAGAGCAAGTCTAGATTCTTTAAGGAAAGGCACAAGCTTAGTATCTCAATACTTGTTATATATAAATGATTGGGAATTTTTCTCATTTTATTTTATATTTGGAAATCAAATCACTAAGTTTCTTCTGCTTAGCACATAATTTCTCATTCAGTGGCAGCTCTTTTAGGGTCTTTGATCTTTTAGGGTCCAGTAGAACACACAAGTTTGGCTTGCAAATGAATTTTACATTTTGTTTCTCAAACTCGTGCTAGTGTGAGAGAGAATATGACTCTATCTTAATCATTCAATTAACTCAGTCTTTATGACCATATCACATAGCACATTTTTTATGAGAAGGTAACATTTAATATTTTCTGCTGTATAACAAACTATATAATTGGGACAGACAGTATGTTCCATACTTAAGTCTTGTTTGAGAGATATGTCCAGTGTTCAACAAAACCTTGTGGGAATTGCAGTGTTTTGTCAAATAGTCATTGACTGAGGTCCCTCTATCAAAAGCTATTTTGCTGGGACAAAAGGGAGTGCAGAGAAATCATTAATACTAAATCTCACCCAGTTAGCTCAAAACTAATATCCACTAATGTTGGATACAGACTGCCCACAATACTCTGAGCTGATTTTGTACGTGTTGAGAGAGTATGAACTTTACCAAGCTTGTCCCAGTGATGTAGTTGATTCAAAAGTAAATTTAATTCTGTATTGAGTTTGCAAAAAACATTTTGACTGTAACATCGGCAGGGTATTCAATTTTTGATCTTCAAAATGCAAGTATCACCAGTAAGACACAGCTGATCTTGAGCCTTTCTCACTATTAACCAAGCAGGAATTATTCCTGTTGACTGAGAAGAGAAATAGTTCCTGAAAGCAACACTGAGAAAGTACTGTGTGCCTTTGAGCTCATCTTTCCCTTTACTCTGCCTTTTTCTTTGCTTTACTCTGTGGAAGCACGTTTACTACACTTACCTATCTCCGTAACCTTCTCAACTCCCCTTGCCACGTTACTCAGCATTGTTATACTTGTAAACTCAGGAAGAAAGCTTTTGTAAAATCCTTATCTCAAGCTCAAGTGATGTTCTGCATTTCTCAGCATAGCCATAGCTAGCAAAGCAGAAACAGATTAATAGATCAGATTAACAGTTTTACCAGAGGCCTAATACTGCTTCTGCTCAACCCCTAGCTGCCTGCCTTTTGGCTTTATAATTTTTCATGAGTATTTCGTAACACTGACATTAGACAATGCTTTATTTTATCTTCAGGCTGCAACTGTAATTATTTATTATCAGACTTGCATGGTGATGACTCTCAGTATACTAACGCTTTCCCACCCTAGCCACTCTCTACCAATTTCTAATCCGTCCTCCCCCACTTTGTTTCAGCCTGGTTTTACTATACAGGATGTTCCAGTGAAATCTCAGCTTTGTTACCATAAGGCAGTGTTTGGTTTCTCATTGCTTTAGAGTGGTGAGCAATTCATCTTACTGGGGTATTTACTTTGAAGTCAGGTTCTTCCATTCAGACAGTAACAACATTCTTAGCCAGGCAGACACATCTGAGTCTCGTTTCAAATCTACTGTTGTGTTTGAAAGTCTGGCTTCAATGCATTTATTTTGAGGGTTACATTTTAGTTGGGCATTTTAAAAATTGGGAGGTTAGAGAATATCTGTGCTGAAGTCTTTGCTGATAGACAAGTATTTCTAAATTTATTTGGGTTAAACCACGAGAAGGATGCGTATGCATGTGTACACACAGAAACACAGAAATATACAAAATACTTCTAATGAAAAATATTGAGTAGTTTTCAAAATATAATGTAAGACAACGATCAGAGCACACCAAATCACGATAAATTAATATCTGTGTTTCTTATTTGGAAGGACTTTTCAGGAAGGAGATTCTCTTGGGTGAATGGGGGCATTTGCTGTGTATTTTGTAATTTTATATCTCAGTTGTGGGAAATATTCTAATTTGGCACATTTTAACTTTAAACACGCTGAGATTCCAGCCGATTTTCTTGTCAGAGGCTGATTATATTGACAGTATAATCTTTAATAATAGATTATCCAGAGTTGGAAAGAGCCCACAAGGACCACCAAATCCAACTCCTGGCTCCAGAGAGGACCACCCAAAATTCAAGCCATATGTCTGAGAGTGTTGTCCTAAAAAGTAATAATCATCACCATATTGCTAAATCTTGAGACTTATTTCAGATATTTAACTCACCTAGATCTCAAACATAGGAGTCTAAAGATTAAGGGTTACAGTCTTTACAATTCTTCCACAAATATAGAGTTGCTTGCACTCAAATCAATCAGTTATTTCTATGAGTGTGTTGATAGGATTTACAGACTATCACTGAAAATTGAGGCTGAATTGTTCCTTACTTCTCTGAAGAGATGAAACTTCTTGTTTAAATAAAATTTATAACTCAGAAAACTAGTAATTATTTGGGTAGGACAGAATTTTTAAGTGATGCCAGGCATATGCAATCCATATGTTTTTTGTTAACCATTTATTTTTTAATAATTTTTAAAGTATTGGATCTTCAAGGACTGCCCCAATCTGATTATTTTTACCACTGAGATTTGGCATAAGAATATATTTCATTGGAATTCCACTGGAATTTTCTTTTAAAAAGGAAGTAACTAAGTAAAAATTATTCTTGAAATTGTATACATACAGACCGTGCCAGATTTGCATGAGAAATTAGACTTGCAAAACTGGTAATTTTGCTTTGTTTTTCTTTAATATTGAATGAGAGACAATGCTCATGGGGAAACCTGAAAATTTGGTGAGTTTCATTTAAGAGCTGAAGATGTTTCTTGTAGCTATGGTTTATGAGCAACCACTCTAGGATGCTTTTGGCAACCAAACATTTTTCCTAAACCTATGTTCCTTTTCCCTGTGTGTTTTTTGGTTGTATTTTGTCTTTTTTTTTTTTCTTTTTTTTTTTTTTGCCACAAATAACAATTGCATTTCCTTTATTCATATGGTATTCCCTCCTTTCGCAGAGACAAAGAAAATGCTGCAGCAGCATCACAAAACAGGTAATTGTTGCTCTGTGTTTTCTCCTTTATCCCTATTTAGTTGGCCTCCTTCCCCCTATTACTCTTACCTCAAAAACATGCAAAATTTGAGAAGGCAATAAATGTTGCCTTCTCAATAAATAGGTTTCAACTAAGCAGATTTGCTAGGCGTTTCTTTCTGATGTAGAATTCAGAAAGGTATGTGAGATGGTAGCAGACATAGTAGGGAAGGGGATTTAATTGCTTGGAACTTTTGTATAAACATTTCTGTATCTGATTCTTGTGTATGTTGTGTGATCCTTGATGGGATATGAGGTTTTGTAATTTCTTTCATTTCAAAAGTGATTTTTTCCCAAAGAATCTCAGCACGCTTTGTAGTTATGTGTAGAAATGTATCTATGAAGGCACAAACAAGAGCTGAAGCACAGGTACTTCTTAAATGAATCTAATCTTTTGTTTAATGGAGCAAAGAAATGTCGCTTGTTAGTTCATGCCTTGAAACAAATTTTACCTCATTTCTTTCCAATTTTATTCACCCCTCCATGAACAAATACTTTTTATATTTGTTCTGAAGACTTCTCACAGTTCAACAAAAATTGCATAGAATTGAAATCCAAGTGCAAGCATCATCCTGACTAATGATATAAGCAATGGTAACTGGCACTTGGACACGCAGGGCAAATAAGAATTATGTCAAAAAGGAAAAAAAATAAAATAAAATAAAAATTTAAACCTTGATTCCTGCATAGCAAGTGTATATAAGGTAAATAAAAAATTCAATAACACATCTAGCATTTGAGTAGTTGTTTGATTTGTGTAAAACCATCTACAGAACTATGCAGCTGCTCCACTGAAATCTCTTCTTTTGGATTTTACTAGGAACTATATCTGATTTATGACTGCTGTTAGTGTCACACTGCATTGCCTTAATCTTGCATGGTTTGTCAAACCATTGCTTTTATCCACCTCCATCTGTTATTGTTGCAGCTTTGCCATGTGTCTTATTATGATATTCCTAGCAGTATGGTTTCCAGATTTAACACAAGGTACTTGTAAAATTCTTGCATCCTTTCCCTGGCTTATGCAGTAATGAGCCATCAAAATTTGTTGTGATTTCAAATGCAATACCATGATGATCTCCTACAGTGAGAATTTAGGAATACTTGAAGAACATGCTGGATATTTACAAATATAAATCTTCTTACAGGAAAAAGAAGAGACAGAAAAATGAAGCCTTAATTACTAAACCAGACTTGACTTTTCAGCTACCTTGTTACACTCCTGCCCCTGTTCCTGCCAAAGGCTTTGCCCACTGCACAGAAACAATAACTGCTGCTTTAAGGGGATAGATGTTCGTACTCTAGAATGCTGCTTTATTTGATGTGGATATGAAATGGTAATACCTCTGAAAACCATAAAACTTAAACAATTATTTTTATTTTAAAAACACCAGCATCTTCTGTAACTGGAATTCTCTCTCTTCCTCAAAAACCTATTACCTCGGGAATCTGTGACCTGATAACAAATATCTCCTTTACAACTTGCTTGTAATCTTTGTTACCCAGGGCTACAGCTACTACATATGTGCCAAAGTGTGTGACCTCCAGTATTTTGCAGCCTCCTCAGTCATGCACCGTGGGTGCCAACACTGGCAGTGCTAAGCCAATGGCCTCCAAGGGCTCTGTGAGGCCTGGAGTGAGTACAAGTCAGAGGGAAGCCAGTTGTGTCACTACTGGCCATAAAGTCTCTCTTTCTTCATCCAGTAATCAAAGGTACACAGTGATGTGTAACTGCGCAACTGACCTGGTTTGGAGCTTTGGAATGGTTTGGTAATAACAATCTCTAACTCTTCCAGACTGAAATGGTTATGGCCTAAAAGGCAGCTGTCTAAGTTCTACAAATTACAGCAACTTCTAATTCCTGTGGGTTTTACTTGTAAGGATTTCATCTATGACATAGAGACAAGTCATTAAGCACCTTCTGCAGAAAAGCAGCGGCTGATGTTATGCACTGTATTTCTCAAACACTGTCAGATTCAAATGCAAAACTCTTCCAAGCTATGTCTTTCTCTAAATACCTCCTCTGGCACCTTTTTTTTCTATGAATGCAGCAGTAAAATAGAGAATTTTTTCTATACCTTTTGATTTGTCCCTTATATTTTCAATTTTATACAAGAGCTCTGTTGGATTACTTGAAACAGACAGGGCTTCATGTTATATAAAGGAAACTAAAAGCAGCTTTACTAATCTACTCAATTGTTCTCTGGACAGAAAGTCACAAGTTAGGACTCTACTGGGATTACGGTATTTTAAATCTTAGAGTGCATTTGTTGCCACATTTTCTCAGTATGGTTGTTAACCATAATTATCCTTTTAACCTCTACTGATTTGTATTACTTTCGTAAGTGAAAATCAGTTGAGAATATGTATTGACTTTCATCTACCTAACTGACATCATGGATTTTATGTTTATTGGTTACAACAAAAATGGAAATGTTTGAGAACATCCATTTCCTGTGATTTTCCTCTAAATACACAATACTGTGAAGATTAAAAGTATATGTAATACCTTTAGAGAAAAAATTAACCTGTCACCTGGTTTGTAAAACACCATTCGCGTTTACCTGCTCACAAAATTCTTCTACAGTGGAATTAAAAAAAAAAAAAAAAAAAAAAATTGAAAAATTGGAAGTCTTGGGGGGAAAGAGAATTATTTTATTTGAATGTCTAAGTAAAATTATTCAAAATTTATATTGGATCAATTAATAACAGTTCAAGTTAATCTGAACTGTTTCTGTAAAACTGAGTATAGAGAATTATTGTCAACTGTCCATCTTGTGTATAATAAGATCATTGTGATATTTTTTAAGGCTTTTCCCTATTTCATATACATCTATTCTACTTCCTTTTTCTGTTAAACTCTTAATGTATTCTGCCCTGCAGGAATGTGATCGAGCCTCTAACACTTTAATCACTCTGAAAAGCTATTACAGCATGTAAGATAAAAAAATTTTGTTTCTTTTAAATTTTATATCAGTATGTTTGCATTTAATTCATATGTGTTTGTCCAGTTCAAATTCGTCTTCTCCACACAGGTCCATATCGACATATATTCTCTTTTCTTTCTCTTTTCTTTCTCTTTTCTTTCTCTTTGTCTCTCTTTCTCTCTCTTCTTTTTTAAACATATATCACAGATTGTCTTTTGGTGTACATTTTGAAGATCCTTTCCACACTTAACTAACCTCACTATTTTCTTCTACTCAAGGTATGCGGTCTCAGAGATTCTTTTGCAATCTGTAACCATTTTCTTTTCAGTGGTAATGGAAAGACAGAATAGGCAAAATCATATATTGTTGTTAGAACATGCATTACATTCCATTATAAAATAGATGTGTGGTATTGTATAGTTTCTATCTTTTCATGTTTGCTAAGTCAAAGCAAGTATTAAGTTTTGGTCAATGTCATGTGATGCTAAAACCCCAGTACTTGCTGTTGCTCAGGGGGAAGGAGGGAAATCCTGTGAATATTCCTCTGCATTTAAACTCAGTAATAGACTAGCCCATGATCCATAGCTGGGATGTACAATATGCAACTACACTGCTCTGCAGTGCTGTATTACAGAAATGGAAGAATCAAGGTAGAAAAGTTCATCTTGAACTTAAATGCAGATTGTGATGAACAAACTTTTGCAAAACTGTTGCAAGACTTTTCACGTAATGGCCTGCAAGCCAGAATTGCCAACAAGATGAGTATTTTCAAAAGCTCCTTTGCTATTTATCTAATTGCAGGTGAAATTCGTAAGGAAGAAAACATTCTGTTTTTGTTGTGGTTTGCATTCAACTTGGGTGTAACAAGCATGCTTCAATTTCAGCTAATCAGATTGTAAAATATTGAGTTAAAATAAGAGATACCATCATTTAGACTACCAAACCCAGAGGAGAAGGTAGAAGAGGAGAGGACAGTCTCTTAAAAAGCAAGAGGCGTCAGGAATTCTGGACATTCATTCTAGCTGCTGAGGAGCACACCATCTTAAATCAGAGCTCCTTTCTGAAAGGAGCATAAGAAAATGTTAGGCAGAATGGCTGAAAGGCAGAAAATACATGATGAAAAAACTACAGAAAAAAAAGGTTGAGAGAAAGAATGTTTAGGGGCTGAAACCTAGCTGAAAAGCAGTCTGGGAACTGCGAGCTGCCTTTTGTTATTTGATTTTTAGCATGCTCAGAAAAGAATATTCTGGGCATTGTTTCTATGTTGTATGACAGAATCACTTACATGCCGTCACCTTCATAGGTGTCATGTAAGAACCTAACTCTTAAGTTAGATGAGAAGGAGTAAAAATGCAGCCATTGTTTTTAATGATGTTCACCAATGTGGATCAGACAATTAGGTTAATAGTGTAGTTTGGTTTGTTGTTTCTGGTTTGTTTGTTTGTTTTTTTTTTCTTTTTGAACACACTGAGATAACTGCTAAAGAAAATAACCTATAACACACAAATATGGCATCAAGAAAAATGACCCTAATGTCTGGCTATTAGATGGCCATATTATATCTGAAAATTATGCCCCAAAATAGTATGATAATTTGAAAACTCAAATTGCAATTGGTTATAATTTTTGGCATCTTATTTGTTCTGGTAGATAAAAGTTAGTTAAACCCACTGTAGAATTGGTCTAAAGACAAAATTATGCTTCCGTCCTTCCCTTTTTTCTCACAGCTTCATGCAGAACCACTCAAAAATCAGACCCTATGTATGAGTGCATTTTGCAGCTGGTTTTTGACCTCCAGCAGCTCTGTGCCACGACTGCTGCCCTGGGGGGCTGTTCCAGTGCCTGACCACTCTCTCAGTAAAGAACCTTTTCCTGATATCTAACCTTATTCTCCCCTGTAAATAGTTGAAGACGACAAACTGAGCCTCCCAAAAGATTGTTTCATTTTTTAACAGTGGATACTCTGACTGTGCTGCCATGCAAGGTTGTCTGATAGATCAACTTCACCCAGTTTGTCTACCTGTAACGTATGAGTTATACTTTCTAAAGCTGAGTGAAGGTTCAAGGACAAAATATGTTAATGAGCACTGTGTGCTTAGATAGCAGGTAATGAAGGAAATGTTAGTAAAACGGCCACAGGACAGAAGAATAATTTTTTTTCTTTTAAATTTAGCTGTTTTTCAATTACAGATAAAATGAATGTTTATATTTATCTATGCCATGAGAGGACTCAGTGTGAGATAGTAGCATTTTATGCTGTATTTTCCCCTTATATGTTGTGTACTGTTCTTATGTGTAAAGTGTTCTTATTGGTTGATGGGCTGGCCAGCAGAACGTGAACTGAATTTAGGGCAGAGATGAGCTAGGAGTCAATGGACACTTTATAAACATCTTTCCAGTACCCGTATCGCGCGAAATGATTAAACTTAGCACAAAACTGTGCTGATTATATCTTTATGCTTCCAGAACTTGTAGGAAACCTGCTGCTACAGAACTATAATAATGTTCCTCAAACTGCATTTCTACATCTAATTAAGAGGTTTACTCCTTAATGTAAACTTCTGCTCCAGGAATGAATGCTGAGTGAAATTTATCGTAATTCGAAGAGCTTGTGGCAGGGTCAATACGACATCTAAGAACTCCACGCCACGCTTCCTATCGCAGGTTTCAGTGGGAGCAGGACTTAAGTGCTGTATGAGACCTGGGGTAAACTTCAGTCATGCAGGGCTACACTACAGTCCTAACTGCTTGTGCAGAAAAGTCTAACAAATGCCTTTTTTTTTCTTTGCATTACTGTGCTTTTCTCTCAGTAACTCAGCACGCTACTATGTTTGTAGCTTCAGGTGCAAACATAGTAGGCTTTCTGCTGTCCTTTTAGAAATGCAGCTTTTTAAGATGCTTTTTGTTTTATTTAATTTAACTCTGATTAGTAGCCCTGTTGAGCATGCTCCGGTGTCTACCAGCCCTGCCTCTGCCCCTGCACCACATGCTTCAGCACATCAGCCTGCTACCGCTGCTCAAAATACAGCCAGTATGATGACACCACCAGCAACCACTCCCACCTCAGTAGTGCAAGAGTCTTTCTCATCCTCCTTCCAAAGGTAATGCTTCGTTGCTTTGTCCTTTTGCAGATATACCCCTGTATGGCTCTGGAAATGCTGCATACACATTCTAAACTTAAGAATGTTGTATGTACAAGCTGTAGCCTATTTTGTATGCTTTCATATAATTTTGTGGGTTTTTTTCTTATTTCAAAGAATGTTCATGATTGTAAAGAATTTGCAAAATAAAACTGTCCTACAAATGACAAAAAAGGATGTTAAGTCTGGAATATAATTTATATTTCAAAAAAGCAACTCTACGGTCAAAACTGGAAATGTTTTTCTACCACTTCAAGTGAAACTAAAACTCATCACAGTACTTAGGAGTGGTTGAATGTGGCTTCTCTTAATAATATTTCTGTAGTGAGGCATGAAATGGAATTTTTTTTTTTAAAGTAGGTCACTCGTAATTGAGCCTACTGAGTTGTAGCAGATTTCAGCAAAACCACACATCTGATGATTGAGTGCTCTGTAAAGTTTTAAGTCATCTCCAACAGATTTATCTAGCTTTTTCCTCTAATGCAGCTAAGCTATACAGCTAAAGTGAGTTTCAAGGAGATGCAAATTCGTAACACTGGTAGTGTGCAGTAGGAGTTCCAGTCGTGTATCAGAAATGATCAAACTCAGCCTGTGCAGAAATAGGACTCACATTGCTGTCACATTATAGTGATTGCTGGGAAAATAAGAGTGAATTTTGTTTAGTGCACCTGGAATCATAGAATCTGCTTCTCTGTTGTTCTTTTCTTTATGTTTTTTGCTACGTATTATTCCTAAAAGATATGTATTCTAGAGTGCTTTAAAAGCCCAGGGAAAAGCACATTTCCAACAACTACTTAAAATAATTGAGATCTAAGATGTAATCTCTCATACCTTAGAATTCTGTAAATGGATTTGGAAGTGTTCTCTTGGTTCTATTTCTTTTTAAATTTGTGCTAGTTCACTTGAATTACTTATGCATGCCAACTACTTAATTTTTACCTCAGTAATGTTTTTCCTAATTGTGACCTACAGGAATCCAATGTTTTTAGTCCAGTGCAAGAAAGCCAATCACCAGCTATCAAAGGAGGTTTGAATATAGGATATTACACTGTAATTCAGAACTATGCTGAAAGGCACTTTTACATGAAATAATGATATGATTTAAGCAATTTTATTCCCTATTTCAAACAGTAACACGAAGAAAATTGATATGTGAATATATGCCTCAAAACTAAATCCTCTATTCCGCTAATCATGTTGGTAACGTGTTTTCTGAAGGAGGTTAATCTTCTGTCTGATAGTGCTTTTATATTAAAATCTTTTGCTTGAATTCAGATTGAAACATCTGAATTCAAATTACAGTCTTTCTTAGTTTTCAATAGACTTTTTTGAAAAAGATTTTTACATAATGTGTGCATTGTGACTTGTGTTCTCTGGGAATGTGCTTGGTTGTGCTGTTCTGTAAGCCTGCAGATGTATGCTACAGAAAACCTGTTCCTGGTAACTATGCAGCAGCCCTCTTGTACCTGAACTCTGACAGAGCTTGATTCTGATGGCACTACTTTGTCCCTGTAAATTTTTTGTATATATGCTTTCATACTTTTACTGTGTCTTCTGCAGAGTGCTTGCAGCCCCCAGCTCTCTTTCACAACCTAAGCCTTTCCTTGGGTCCAAGAACATGTCAGTAGCAGCTTCCACTATTTCATCCGCTCTCTCATCTCAGTCTAGGTATATCTATAAAGATCTCTTCTGTTTCTTTGTACTCAATATGTTTTTGTTCTGTATTATTCTCTCACATTTAAGGTTTTTGGCTTCTTAAGAGACTGCTTTTGTGAAAAATATTTAAAAGCATGATGTGTCTAATAGAATTGCTGCCTTGTTTGATGGTTCACATTAAAACCTAAGTTGTAGACTTATGATAGGCAACCAAGGAAAAAATTTTGATCATAGTTGCTTCAGTTGGTAAGCTTGTGCTGGTTTTGCCATCTTAAAATGAAAATAGGTGTCCACTGAGGCCAGCTGAGAATGACAGATTTGTGGTTTTTTTTTTCTTGGTGAAAACACGGATCATAGTTTAACCATCTGATACACTTTCAAAAGACCACAGCTCTTCATTTGTTATGTTCTTAGTTGTGGCTAATGAATGACCGTGGCTAGGCAGGAGCATGCACATTTGAAGAGCACACGTTAAGAGATATAATAAGCGATGCAGTGATCTTCAAGATTAATGTAAAAAACAGCAGTTAAGTGCTAAGCACAAATACAGAAAGCATTTTTATTTGCTTCACATCACTGAAACCAATGCAAAAACGAAACAGCTACGTAACAGAAGATCAGATGAGTTCTGAGTTTTAGTAGGTAAGCATGGCTTTGTTTAGTTCCATTTCTCTAATTCCCATATGCATCTACTAAAACATAAGAAATCAAACTAACATGTTGATGTAAGTCCATTTATCAAAGTTACACTCTTCGTAACTTCATTTTCAATTGCTTTATGAAATTGGTGTCACCAAGAATGTACCAAGAACAGAAGGCAAGAATGGAATGGAAGACTTTGTAAGGGTTTTTACTACTAGTAACACATCTAGTTCTATGCACAAACTTGCAAAATTCTGAAGTGATGAATTACATATAGAATTTGTTATTTATGGTATCTATCATAGAAATGTAAGATTACCTCATTTTCAAATTGAGTGCTCAGTGCACTTCAGAAGTAATTCTTATACTCCTTTTCTGTGTTAGGCTCTTAAACATGATCACCAGTATTATTTTATCTGATGCATGTTTTGCTAACAAATCCCTTTCAGTCAGTTGGAGTGATCACCTATTGATATAAGAACAGGGTCCTATGTAGCTATAGCTGACAGGAGCCCCTAATAGTCAAAGCAAGACCCATACTTACTAAGCAACAATAACTGTGTGTATTTGGCTTTTTATTACACTGATGTGAAAAAAACTAGTGATTTGTTCTGAGTGACAGAAGAGACTCACATTAGGTATTTCTCTGAGCTAAGGAACAAAATGTATCTATCAGTCAGAACATGACATCAATCTGAAGCCATGGTATTAGTCTGGCCAGCAAGAGGACCTCTATTTGTATTTTATCAGTCTGTATCCTAGGAGCCATAAGACTCTTGATATGAGAGGTATATTTTTACCTATCTACGTAGGAGATTTTTTTGGTATTCTCTTAGCTACAGTGAAAATTATACAAAATAGCTAGTAATAGGTCTCATGCAAGAAGTAGTAGTATGATGGCATTAGTACTTTGTTTCTGTACTTTCATTAATACTAGCAGTAGTTTCACAAAATATTTGCAAATAATGATCAATTTTGCAATAATCAATGGCAATCATAATTCTAACAAGTAACAAGAATAAAAAGATCACTCAGAAATACTAGATTTTTTTTTTCATTTTAGATATCTTCTATGCATTAAATTGGCATGGATTGTTTTACGTTTTCCTCCTTTGAAAAGATATGGGCATCTTGGTTGAGTGCCAGTGAGCAGCAAATGTGCCCAGCACTGCCTAGGAATAAGGAACATGAGTAAGGGAAGTGATTACTCCCTTTGCTTTGCACTTGTTAGTCTGCAACTGGAATGTTATATCCAGTTTAGGTTCCCCAGTAAACAAAAATGTTGATAAGCTGGAACAAGTACAGTGGAAGGCCACTGAGATGTTGATGAGATGAAACAGCCAAAGGAACAAGCTTTGCTTAGCTTCTTCCTCCACATTCCTCTCTTCTCTAGGCTAATAAGAGTCTTCTTTTACCTATGAGGAAATGATTAACAGGATAAAACTGAGCTCTTTGTAGTGTTGCCCTGCAGGAGAACAGGAGACAAAGTGAAAAGGAAGATTCTGACTGGTTAAGGAAAAAAAAACTTTAAGCCAACCTTCAAGTTGGGCAGGGCAGCAAATTGCTCAGATGGGCTGTGCCAACTCCGTTCTTTAAGATTTTTCAAGACCCCACTGGATAAAACCCTGATCAATATGGTCTGATCTAATGGCTCAATGGCTTTGAGCAAAAGATTGAATGAGGGACATCTGAGATACATTCCAGCCTGAAAGCCTCAGAACCTATAAAAAACAAGTGTCCACTTCAGAGAGTAATGCTTTCATCAGGCTGTTAAAAGCTACTGTTCATGACTGGCAATTATTCTAAGTCAAGGATATTGACATATACTTCAAGTTGTTATCAGCTGGCACACGTTATTCTCTTAGGTAGTACCTCTCTCAGTAGTGCAGTAATAGACAAGCCTTAGGACATAAAAGCAAATCAGAAACTCATAGGAAAAAATTGGTTAAAAATTGGCTCCTAGCAATCAAGTGCAAAATGCAAATTCACATTTTGTTGGAGTGTTTTGTTACAGATGAAATAGCTTCTTTACCTCTTTGCATTTGTTTCATATTTATTTATTTTTAAAACTGCCACATACTATTGCTGGCGTTCAAATATAAGGGCATAGTTTCTAAATTCTTTTGTAATTCAAATTGTCAAACATCAGATAGTTTTGATTTAGAAATCAAGAAATGTATTAGCATGCCAAAATACAGTTCTAAAGGTCAAGTATCATCTACCATTGGAGCATAGCAGCAGTTCATATAACATTAGTTCAAAATAAAATATAGATGATCTTAGTCACAGCAGTATTCATTCCATCCTGTAAAACATGTACAGGTAGAACAAGCCGGAGGTTGTCCCACTGCTGATTCAGTAGTTTCTTTTTTCCCCTTCCAGCTACATTAAAGAGACATACCAAGAAAATACGGGATGATTTCTTGGTCAGTGTCCTTAGCCACTTAAATCTGATTTTAAACCTTGACAGAACAGTTCTATATTGATTTTACTTTTCTGAATAAGGCTGCATGGATGCATAGCAACTGACATGGCTAAAATTTTCATAGTCTTCCTGAAGAAGGACATTAGAAGTCATTAACCTTTAACTGATTGTGTTTCTCTGCCCTTTTAAACTTGCAGAACTAATGTTACTTTTGTGCTTGAAATCGTATTTACAAAAAATAAAGAAAGCATAGCAGAAGTTTTTAAAATAAGTGACAGAACTCTTTATGCAATTGGTTATTCCATTAGGAGGGTAAAAGCAGGGCAACAAGCAAGACAGCAGTCTGGGAACATAGCAACAGGAGAAGCAAAGAGTCAGGATTATGGTTCTACAAGAAAGGCATAGCTGCTATGATCCTAGGGTCTGAATCCAAGCACTGTCTGTGATAAAGAGAAAAAATTCTCCAGAAGCTAAGAAGATAACTGATGCATGACAAGATCCTACTGTTATTTATGGCAAATGTAGGCTGTGTTCCTTCATGCTGTGATTGTTGCCACACAGCTCTGTACTGCTCTGCACTTAGGCAGGAGCTATGTTCATTCTGAACCCCCTTGTTTCTCATATCCTATGCTCTGCAGGGACTCAGTGCCTCTTGTATTTACACGAAGGAAGCATTTTTTCTGGAATGATGTTGTTTCCCCAAGGAAAAAAAAAAATCTGCCTATTCACCCAGGGCTCCGTTTAGTGTGTAACAGTAGAACAGTACTGCAATGGAAAAGTTGCTCATGATAGATTGATTCTGCTACTTCAACTATTTTTTCTTGTCCTTTCTGTGGGGTTATCTTTGTTTGATCCATAATTAGCCAGGAAACTTAGCTGATCTTTGAACTTTGGTTAATTCAAGTTTTCCTTGTATGTAAATTAAGCATATGTTATTGACAAAAGAAAATTCATACCTAATTGTTGTGGCATTACAAATTGATGGTGAATGTCAAAGAAAACAGTCCAGTGGTTAAATTGTAATTCCACGACTAAAAAATGAACAGAAGGGGCTGAGAGTGAATTACAAAGCAATATACTCTACTCATTTACTTGTAATCCTTATTCAGGTTTCACTATGATTCCCAGCTTTAATAAGATAAGCAAAATGTAACATAACACTGATCTTACATTATTAAAAGTATATATATGTTGTTTAGTTTATCACTTATTAAAAATATCTCCTATTCATAAGAAAAATCTCTGTAAGACAAGATCTCACTATTTTCTTGATACATTCTTTTCAAATACAACTTTTGTCTCATTTTAGTTTCAACCGGCATTCTTCCACCTCCATCAGCTACCAGTCGAAGAGGTATAAAAAATGTTTTGTGCAGTTACTATACCTTAAAAGCACTTAACAGCCCAGTCTATTGCTGCATCCAGTGAAGTATTAACATGAAAATCCTTACTTTCTTAAAACTAATAGTGTTCAGAGCCAGTATTTAATTCATTGCCTCTCACATGCCATTGGCTGCTACAGATAAATCCAGTAAAGGTGCTTTCACTGCTTTAGATATGCTGTTGCTTCTTCTTACATTACAGCATCTTCAGCACTTAGGACATCTTTTTTCATTCTTTCCTTCTTCCTTCCTTTCCATTTTTTTCTTTAATGATAACTCTATTTCCTTCAGCAGAAATTCTACCTGATAAATCTTTTAACTTCACTAAAACCTGTAATGATGTTTCATAACACTTCATTTCTCTTTGACAAGGCTCTTTATCTTCTTACTGTATTTAATATTCACCATACATTTGCAATAGATTTTAGTGATTGACTTCTAATTTTGTCATTAACTTGATACAACGAATAGAATTCTTTTCAGCATTTTCTTTTTGTCATTTTGTTTTAATTTCCCTACATGTCCAAGGAATCTGGTAGCATGTTTTTATCACACTCTTAACTTCAAAAAACACTTGAATTTTTAATAACCATTTTTCTTCACGGCAGTTCAGGTATCACTAATCTGGCTCAGAACTTCTTTGCGTTTTGTGTGTTAAGAAACACTGAAATGAATCTTGCCGTCAGTGAAACTGCACATCTGGAGTAGGCTTTCTTGTGTGTAAACTGTTTTCAGATTAAGTCTGTATGACACGCACAGTTTAAAAACTTTCTGTTCACATAGTAAATATTGATCACTGATCCTGTAAAGGTAAGTATTTCTTACTGCTTTTCTGTGTGGTTTACCTTGAATAATAGATTTTGAAACAATGAAAAATCTTTAGATGTTGCATATTCAGCTAAAGATGTTTTGCAAGTCCCTGAAGTATAACTCTTCCTGTCTGCGCTACAGTGGAAGCAATGATTCCCTCTCCAGTGACCCCAAGTAGAGTTTGTTCTTATGCATCATAGGTGCAGAGGTAGATGCTAGGAATGGAAAGTTGAAAGGTATACTGTGCTTTGGTGGTTGTGAAATCATGGTACAGTTCACAACAGAATCCAGCCCTAGCCCCTAGAGTGGGTGCAGAAATAACTAGCTACAGTCGTCATAGCAACAGCAATGTTTCTAGGACTAAGTAGACAAAATAAACCAGCCTGAGTCAGCAGTGCTCTGCAGGCTAGATCTTGTGTAAGTAATGTCAGAGCAGCAGAGTAGCTGGATTGCCAGGATAAGTTTATTTTGTTAACAATTAAAAATCAAATCAAAAGTTTACATTTGTGAGAATATAAACCGCTAGAAGAAATTTGCTGGTTTCGTCATAGGTAAAAATTATAACATGCTCTCCAGGTAGGATCTACTTCCATTGTCAGAGAAAGAACGAGCCACAATAGATCATGATCTTGCAAATCAGGACATCTTTTCTTATGCTTACAAACTGTCTCTTATAGACAAAGTCAACATAGAAGCAACTCCTACAATCTCAGCACAAGTTGGTAGATACCTGTCTCATTGAGATAGTGAAACTGAAAGAGTAATACTATGTTTATGTTATTGAGGTGAGTTAAAATGATATTGAACACTGAACGGTTTTATTACTGCAGGCATCTCAGTATTTGTTACTACCCTTCTCTGTACTTCTTTAATTCATTCCTTCTTGCTTGCTTTGTTTGTCATGCTCTTTTAGGAGTCTGTGAAGCAAAGTTACTACAAACAGAATCGTCCTAAGTAACGGGCAAGTAGAAGAGGCATATACTTCAACATGTTACTATAATCAAACACAGAATAACTATCTAAGCCATAAAATGGAGGAAAAAAAAATCGTTATTGATGCTTGGACCCCTGAGCAAAAGTTTTTATCTAGGAATGCAGAAATCACATAGTAGTATTTCATGTCATGTATTTTTCAGTTGCTGAATCCAAACATCAGAAAAAATAGCATTGAATTTAGACTGAGATCATAATTTATGATATTTTTCTTTCCAAAGAACTTTCAAGCCTCTCTTAGAATGATAACGATTAGTGGTTCTCACTGTATTCTCTCTCTAGCTCTCACAGTTCTTCTGGGGTACTTCGGAAGGAAGCATCCAAATCTCTTCCTTTTGTACTCAATAACTTTGGCTGTTTATAAAGTTGCTGATACCTTTGTTTTGTTTTTAGAAACACAAGCCAGTCATATACACCAGTGCCAGCTTCTGCAAGCTATGGTGAAAGTCCTGCTGCTTCTGCTGCTTCAAAACCAAGAGTTGTCACTACTGCTAGCATAAAGCCCTCTGTCTACCAGCCCGGTAAGGAGATTTCCAAGTACCGGAATGCACAGGCATTACTTTTAGAAAAATAATATGTTCATTTTGCTATAGGACATGTGTGTTATCAGGAAATTTATATGCACAGAACCAACTGAACTGACAATGTTGTTTCAGCTTAGGATCAAGGATGATGTTGTATTAGTGAAAATGTGGACCAAATGTAGGAGAAAGAAGATAAGCAAGGGAGCAGTCTGTAAAAATGGTGTATAGTCTCATTTCTCAAAATCAGTGCATTTGCAAGAAGCCCAGTACACCTATTTAGGATCCTCAGGGCAATTCCTAGTTGATAGAATAGCTTAAGAAAGCACACCTTAGGATGGAAACAAAATAAATGAAGTAGGATATTTGCAAAATAGAGAAAACCACATAATGAATTTCTAAAATTCAGGCTTGTATTTGGATTAAAGAATGACTTAAAGTACTTAGTAATACTATGCTTCCATTTCCCACAGATCCAATTACTGAAGAAATATATTTGATTATTCATTTTGGTGGAAAATATACTCCTTGATGCTATTTAAATCCTGTTTGTATTAATGTGTTACAAATGGAGTCAACTTCTAAAACTAGTGATGACCAAAATGTGAACCTTCAAAATGAACAAATTAAACGAGTTAGCAATCTAAGTCTAAATGCAATTCTGTTTCAAATTAAGTTTTCTGTTCTTAACAAGGTAACTAAAATGTTGATTTTTATTCTGACAGCCAAGTATGTATGAAAAGCTCAACAATTCTAACAGTCTTAAGCTCATTCTTTTCTGCAGTGGGTTATTTCTGGATCTACTGCAATGAAACTGATTGAGAAATTCTACTTAAATCAGTCTGTCTGCTTTATATCTATCTTTGTATTTGAGATATGAAGGTGGAAAAAAAAGTCAGTTCGGAGCTTTAACAAACTCTACAGGGATCTCAGAGTCAATCAAGGTTTCACTTTCTCCTCATTTGATTTTGGTTAGGTGAGTCAGCATATACTGTGCTCTCAGTCAAATGGTATTTCCGTCTTGCAAAAGAAGGAAAGATGAGAACAGAGGATTTATTTCCATAATGCTGATTAGAGCAAGCTGTGGAAAGTGAAAGTATCTTCCAAATAAACTGATTAGTACAAAATACCATGCTCGTTTGAGGGCAGTGAAAGCTCTAGTTTACACAGATCTGCAGCAGGCATAAACCAATACACATATCTGTTAGGGAAAAAGCTGGCTGTTTAATTCAGCTCAGAATAAGAGGCCCAACTTTTACTTTCTGTGATAGGCATCTTCTTTGCAATTCCTTATTCCTTATCAAAACCTGCTGGTTTTGAGCCCCATTACTTTAAAAAGTGCAGTATGAAAAATATGTTCTGTGTCACTGTGTAGACAGCAAAATTATTTCCAATTGAAGCTTTGCCTGCCTGCATGTGGGAAATTCTTCTTTTGTAAGTAATGAAAGGATATAATGTATTCCAGAGGACATGAGAAAATTTGCAATTATACAAATGTAATACAACAGATGCAAATTGCATTAAAGTTCACAGAGAGAAAAACAGTAAGTCTCTCTGTTCTACTCAGGAGTTTAGACTGGAACAGAACAATACCATTGGAAGGTACCTACAAAGACCATCAGATCCAACTGCCTGACCATTTCAGAGATGAGCAAAAGTTAAAGATAATTACTGGTGCTCAACGCCTCTCCAAGTGTGACAAGCATAGGGCATCAACCCTATCAGTAGGAAGCCTGTTCCACTGTTCCACTACTCTCACAAGAAAGGAATTTTTCCTGATCTCCACTCTGACCCTCCTGTAGCACAGCACTGTGCTGTTCCTGCCTGTCCTGCCATCAGTTACCACAGAAGAGACCAGCATATCTTCCTGTGCTTCCCCTCCTCAGGAAGATGCAGAGAGATATTTGAGAATAAATAGAAGTTTTAAAATAATTATAAAATACCTCTCTAATTAAACCCCAGTGACTCAGGTGCATGAGGTTTAACAGAAAGTCATTTTATTGTAGGTTGTTGGTTTTTGTTTGGTACCTCTATCAAGTATTCTTCATTTAGTGTTGTAGCACTTCAATTGGAACGTGACCCTGGCCTTAAAGACAGATGCAGTTGTAAGCAAACAGAAACTTGCTGCTTGGAAGAAATGCAGGAAGGAACAGTTCCTGTCACCGATAGATCCTGTCACCAAGAAAGTAGTTAGAAAAGCTTCTCATCCAACTTTGCCAGTGCATATAAATTCTGCTCTGCAGTGTAAAATGCAACCTTAATCTGAAAAGATCAACTATTCTCGAAGGATAAAAGATGAGACCACAATATTCATCTTTTTCCTCCAAGTACAACCTCAGGCCTTAGCAGTAGCTGTACTCTCACTCTAACCAATAAGCTTTAGATTTCCATTTCTGTAAATCCACTGCATGAAAAGGCTGAAATAATGAATATTGTGAAGGATTTGTAGTGGGGAATTTAGCAAAGGAATTCCTTTATGCTATCAGTCAGTGTTAACTGAATAGGAATAGGATGCCTTACTTCCCCTAAAATTCCACACTAGCAATTTTCAGATTAAAACATACAGCCCCATATCTGCAACATCCGGAAACAAAAATCAGCCACTTAAGAAGGTCTATGAAACTATTTTAATCTGGATCATATTGAAAAGTAATGGAGTTAAATCTTGTTTACACTGAAATTAATCTCACAGTGAAACTGCATTGTTGAGTATGTAGCTCAGATGTGAGTAAATCAGTAAGCCTATGCTTTAAAGGAAGGAGAAGAACTGCTAGGACTTTTCTGCTGCTAAAAATCTTTGTTTCTGTTGTTCCTACACGGAGATTTTTACCCACTTCTGTTTCACACATTACATCAGGTGTTTTTAAGAGGCACATAGACTTATTTTCTAAACACGGTCCACTAGATGGCAGAAAATACTTGCGTCTCTCTTTTCCTGTACTTCCAGACTACAATAGTGCTTTCATTATTTCAAGCAACCCAAATGCCAGCTTTATACTACAAAGTAACACAATACTTAAAAACAAGAAAGGAGATCTTCCCTTTTAAATCTGTAAGTCCAAAAAGGGACTACTCAGATATGCAAAATGGCTCAAATGTAAAGGCTTGATCCGTTCTTTTAGAAATCAGTAGAAAGATTCCCACAGATCTCAATAAACTTTTCACTAATGCCTTAACACATTCAAGACTAGAATAGCAGGTTATGTATATTCTTATTTCTTTCTAAATACTTCTGAACAAGGGTAGTGTCTTCTTACAGAGGACAGTTGCATTATCTGCTTTGTCTGTCTTTTATTATGCATTTGAACAGTATACGCAAATATTTGGGGCTTCAAGGACATGGCCGCTATGTGTAGAACCAGCCAAATCATTTGTGATTATGAACTGCATTTGTTACTGGAAAACTAATAATAAAATTTGCATTCCACTAACAAAACAAAACACAAAAAAAGAGAAATTGTTTTCACAGGTTAGTTTGTAAGGCTAAAGCTTTTGAGACTATATGAATCTATATATTACTAAATGAATCTTTGAAAACATACCCTTTTTTTCTGGAGGAAGAATATCCATTGGCAGTAAATGAAGAGCTGATGAGAATTCCAAATTCCTCAGAAGCACGGAATTGGCTTGTTCTTACAGTTGTTAAGAAATCTCTTCTTCTCCTACCATTCTCTTCACATAACAGTAGTCCCATTGTTTCTCTCCTACTAGAAGAGAATCTGAAGGCTGAGAAACAAGGTGATAGAGGTTGAGTTACTGAATTATTTCAAGTATTCACTGCTGAACAGGTAAAGGTTAGCTGATACAACGTGCAGCAAACAGCACCTTTTATTTGCTGTATAAATTTTGAAAGATTTTGAAATATATAAACATGCAAGGTAAATTCATATGGCTGTACTTGCTAAGAAAAAAGAGCTGTTCATGTAAGTTCAGGGAATATAACTGTAAGATAGTAAGAAAGTAATTTCTTTTTAATAACAATTACTAAAATCTCATTGTTTATGAAACAGGTGTAACGCATTGCAATGATGGCATTTTAAACCTACAGTAATTCCAACCTGTTCACACAGTAATAAATCCAGCTTTTAAAATTAAATGATAATGGCTGAAATGTTAGTTAACTATGGAGAAATCAGAGCAGTTGTGAACACCCGGTATTTGTCATTTTGCAGTAATTCCCTTGGTATCTTCTTTCAGCAACCGAAAATGAAGGATTTAGTTGCCAGAAAGGGAGAAAAAGGAGAAATAGAAGAAGGTATAGAGAATAAAAAAGGCCCATCCCAAGTGTTAATCCTTCAAAGGAGTCTAGACTATTCTGAACCCAGATAAATCATATGCTGTCTATGTTGATCAGAATAAACAGGAAAAATAAAACAATGACATTATGAGATTAAGGGGAAAAAAAGCAGAAAACAAAGAGCTCCTAATTTACTAAAGACAATCATTAAGAAAAATATATCCTAAAAACATTAACTGTATTCATTGTTTTCTTTTCGATCCCTGGGTTTGAATATCTGACCATTTTGTTAGGTCCTTTGTGGTATGCGTTGCCTTTGTATGAACAAGAACTGGCCGTGGGGGAGGGAGAATCCTTCCACAAAACTGAGTGAGCTAAAAGTCACCTTATTTAATTACAGAGTCTCATAGGTGGGAGCCTTTTGAACTCACCAATTAGAGATGAAATATTGCCTTCTAATTTTGCCTACCCTAATACCATAATACATAAATAGCAACAGCCCCGGGGTTTAAAGGGATTGGATACAAACTCTGTTCAGAAATCTTTAAACGATGTTTACCATTCCCAGGAGAAAAAAAAGAAGCCTCAAGCTAAGGTGGGAGATTCAGTTTTATGAAGGAGAAAACTTGATGCTGAAGAACAAAAACGTTTGATCAAGAAGATGTGTTAGAAACTCTGAACCCAATAAAAAATAGAATCAGAGATGATTAAGCTGGCTGACCAGAGTAGGTTGATACATATGCGATTTACGCACCCACATTGAGGATAATAATCCATGTATGTTATTCTGTGTGGCAGTGTGAGCTAAGGGAGGAGTGGAGTGTTAAGTAAAATATAATCTTATCACCACTTTATTATCCTGAGATATTTGTCTTGTATTCTAAACTTCTCCTTTGCTTGAAATACCTTTCTACCTGAAAGCCCCATAAAGCCACAAATGGTATATTTGCTCATCATTTTTTTGGCACCGTGATCTACTATGCAGAGTGTTTGCTTTGAGTACAGAAGACTTGGCTTCTGTTCCAAATCTGTGCTCTCTGGTTTGGGCAGAACACTTCAACTCTCCGAGCTTTTACTCCTTTTCACACATGCTGACAATCCCTCACTTGTTTTCTTTGCAAAAGAAAAGCTGCTTTTAGTACTCCCGTACTTGGCAAAGTGAGGTAGTTTCTTAGGCAATAGCTGCAGTCCTGCACAGTGCCAGATCTGGCATTTTGAAAAGAGCAAGGCAGTGGGAAAACATCTCAGTATGAACAGGCTCTAGCTTCTGCTTATTTTTATGCGATAAAGCTCCACCCAAGATGAAAGCCTGATACATACAAACAGGCACAGTCTCTGCGCAGATGATTTTATGTGGTACTGCAAAGGTGGGAGAAAGGAAGTATAGCATTTCTATTTTATAGATGGGAACTGAGGCACAGAGATACTACAACTCGCTCAAAGTTTATACAGGAAGTCTGTGGCAGAGCCAAGAGCAGAACTTAAGATCAGTCACAACCGCAAGTCTGGCCTTCCTCTGAGTGCTGCTGGCTTTGTTTTGCTGGTCATGTGAGCTGAACTGGCTCCTTCAGTGTTGCTTACAGTGCTCTCTAGCTCTATGTTCTCTGTGTGAGTCTATTTTTTGTCAGAAACCTACAAATCTAACGTTCTACAAGTGGTAAACAGTACTGACGTCTGTGCACATTCATTACATTTTAATGAATGTAATGAAAATTCAAGCATAACTCCATATTGAAACTGTGGGGAATTCTGTCTAAAACTTCATTACACAATCTGGCCTTTCTATTTATAACCTGCCTTAAAACAGATTACGTGGCAGCTTTTCAAATTATCACAGAACTGTCATATCCATTTCTACTGGAAAAATGAAGAGATATCTTTGAGAATGGTCTCCACAAAGTCTTTACAAGCCAGCAGGCAATGTTTTCTGTAATGCATGTAGATTAAAAGCCAACAATTGTGCTGAAATCCTTGGCTTTAGTCCAGAATTAATGAATGATAATAAGAGAGGCCATAAGAAATTGTCCTCTGAAGCTTTGGTTATTGTTTTGCTATGGGAAGAAAAGACCTAAAAATCCTTCTTGGTTTCTTTTGGCATACTTTAAACAGCACCTGCACCAGTTCATTCCTACACCCCTGCCAACACGGAGCCAGCAAGCCGTCCTCCCTGGGTAACAGATGAGTCATTTTCCCAGAAGTTTGCACCTGGAAAAACCACCACCACTGTCACGAAGAACATCCTTCCGAGGGGTGCTCCAGTACCACCTCCTGCCTCTAAATCTGCATACCCGTCTCCAGTTTCAGCTTCTCCCCTGGCTCCTGCAATAGCCCGAGGAACAATTCAGAGGGCTGAGCGTTTTCCAGCCAGCAACCGAACTCCTCTCTGTGGGCACTGTAACAGCATAATTCGGTAAGGTCATGAGGTTTTGAAGAGGGATGAGGCAGAAAAGACAATATAACAGGGAGACTGTTTTTTATACATTAATATACAGTACCAGAGCCTAAGGCTCAGTTAAATTACTCAGCAGGGTTGTCTGTTATCTGCTTCATTAATTTAACATTTCCAGAGCTCATTTTGCTATGGTGCAGTTCACTTTTTATCACTGTGAAGTTATACATGCTAGTTGTTTGTTTCATGGAGGCTGTGGCAAATTACTGTTTTTTTAAACAAGTTTTTAAACAAGGTCCCTAAAGTACCCCTTGAAGGAGGTATATACACCACTGCATTGCGATGTTGGGGGCCAGTAGGAGGATGGTAGACTAGGAACAAGGCATCATTTTGGAACAGCAGCCAGATGTAATTGTTGCTTTTGTGTCTGGAGAGATAATGCCCACACTCTATTATCAGTGATTCATAGCATGCCTCTCCCTTCTTTCCCAGTTCATTCTGCTGGATTGGCGCCCAGTGTAACTCTCTGGACTGCTAACCAACTTGAAGTAATCCACTTTAATGACAGTCTCATCCACTAAAAGGAGCTAGTTTGGTGAAGTGGAACTACTGCTCGTCACCCTTTATATTTTCTGAAACAGAAAGACTCCAGTAATAAAAGAATTGAATTCCGATCGCTACATGTAATTACAATCAAGAGTAAATCACCAAAACAAATTTGTGTCTTCCATATAACCAACAGCAGCTTGTCATCCGATATACCAACGTTTCTAGAACGTGCAGCATGTAGCAGTCTCTCAAAAGAAAATAAGGCAGGATATTGGGTGTATGTGGGTAGGTTTGGAAACTGGCCTGCTTTCTCGTGATTTTAAATAGTGGATTTATTTTCTGATTTACAAACCTTGGTCTTTTCCTACTGTCTTTCCAGCTGGTCACAAAGATCACTTACAGCTATGCAGATATGGAAACCATAGATGATTTTTCTGACAGCTGTTTGTAAATACAATGTATGTGTCTAAACAATTAAATACTTAAAGCAGTTGGCAAACTGTTTTAGTAATAATCTTAAAAAAGACACTTTCTGGTCAGGTTTCTGGATATTATTTTAATATGCACCTTCATAATTTGAATAGAATGCTTGTTATACATGGATGCAGCATCTAGCAAAATGGGTTTGTAATCAGGGTCACTCAGTATCTTTGCAGTAAAAAATATCTTTGTTCACAGGGGTCCCTTCCTAGTAGCCATGGGTCGCTCTTGGCACCCAGAAGAATTCAACTGTGCTTACTGCAAGACATCCTTGGCTGATATGTGCTTTGTGGAAGAGCAGAATAGCGTATACTGCGAGCGCTGTTATGAGCAGTTCTTTGCACCGACCTGCTCCAGATGCCACACTAAGATCATGGGGGTAAGAAAGAGAACCGTTATTTCAACTATATGTGGCCCACTGAAATTAGAAATAATTTAAACTGTAAGCAGTGCTTGTATTTATTTTATTATTTTCTCCCTTTTTGATAATACTTCCTTAGCCTACATATAATTTTGGAATGAGAAACACATTATTTTATAATAATCACTAGGTAGCCAAAATCTTGGCTATTCCTGTACTTTATCCAACTAGATAGAATAAGTAATCCAATTATCATCTCTCAGGTGTAAAACACAGTACGCTTTCTGGATAGTTCACTGCTATCCAACACACAGGATGTTTATCTTATCTACCTTTTCCTTGTCTTTGTGCAATGGAGACTTGAACTGGAATGTTTTAATGCTTGACTTAATCTAAAGTTCCATGGAGAAGACTGATCTTAGATGGGCTAAATGCTCATACTGCACTTCACTGTCAGCTAGCAGCACAGCTGCTGAGAGGAATGCTGATGATTTCTTACTGTTAAAAACAAACAAACAAAACAGGGTAAATAAAATGATCTGAATTGAAGAGAGACAAAAATAGATGCTAACTTTTTAAAATAGATGCTTAGATACAAGCAAATATGTTCTACGCATACCATATGGTAATTAGGCTTGAATGCAGTAAGATACTTCTAGCAGTTTATTTATGCATGCAATTACATACTACATGTATATATGCTATATATATGCCATGATTCTCTTACTGAGGAAGAAAGAAATACCACATCAGTTTTGACTGCTTAGCTGTCATCTTTTGACATCTGTCTGAATGTTGGCACTGACTGAGAAGATGCTTTACTCTGCTATTGCTGATTAGGGGTGGCGGCATCAGATGCTTATGGTGGAGCTCTGGCTCTGCAGCAGTAGGAGTAATTTTATAGCAGAGTACTGACTTACCTAATTAATGTTGGCACAGATCAGTCCATCATTATGGATTTTCATCAGGAAAATAGCAAAGATGCCAGCTGCCTCTATTTATATTAATAAGATTTCTCTATCTGTTCTTTGCTTCTTAGCTCAGTGAGGTTCATAAATGGATCCAAGCCTATTTATCAGTGATAACTGTTTTGCAAACAGTAGCAGAAGTTAATGAAACTCAGTGGTGATTTTCTATATGCAAAGCATAAACTTGACTATTTAGATTTAAAGCTTGGAAATAGATTTCAGTCTCTTTTATTTTAGTCGACAGAAATAAGTGTTTCAAATAATCAGAACCTATGTATTTAATCAGAAACAATGTAAAATAGAATCTAGATTTTCAGCTGCTTTAATCACTATTTCAGTGAAGTTAACAAAGCTAAATTACTCTAGTTAAGCATCTGGCCCTTTGACAGTTTGACAGGATACACTGTCAAACACTGACAAACAAGACTGACAAATTAGTGGGTACTTAACTATACATTAGAGACACTGCGGCAGCTTTTGGACTTGCAGAACTCACGTATGACAAGATAAGAACGCATAGAGATTGCTCCATACTGGATGGAAGAAAGAACATGGTAGAATCTGGCTATTCCTATTTCCTGTGCCATCCATTTCTTGGCATTGGATAAGAATTTATGTGGCTATACACACAACTAAAGTACTGCTAAGGGTTAAGGTAGCCTGCCAAAGGAAGGTCAGTTCCTTGGTCTTGTCCTGTAAACACTTGTTCATGAACACAGGTGACTATGTAGGAGAGGAAGAAACAATTGAGAATGGTGGGAGTTTAAAGAGCTCAGTTGGTGCCAGAAACTTAGGTGCTTTACAGTGCTTGTGATTATACAAAGCATGGATCACAAGCATGTTTAAAAAATGCCACCTGTACACTTTCAAGCTTCTCTTCTGTAAAGAACATGTGCAGAATTTGCTTTTTTGTGATGAACACATGGCCTAGGAACAGATGCACAGACTCATTTTGATTGATCATGTAAGTCATAATCCAGTAACTTTTTTAAAATCACGTTTGTAAAGAGTTCTGGTGAGAAGCTAGAAGAAATGAGTACATCATCGAAGTTGCTTTGAAAACATCAGACTTAAATCATTTATCCCCTTTGTGCATTTCTTGGTCTCAGAGGTGAAATTGCTCTTCAAACGTTAAATAACAAATCATACACTTGCGTTGAAGAGTTCATAATGTCAAAAAAAAAAAGGAGAAAAAAAAGTCGAGATCTCTGTGCAGAATCTCCTCTGCAACAGCAACTGGGCATGTTGATACAAACAGCTGGCTGAACTACGTTGTTTCATTTTGGCAAATACCTTGCTCTAGAAATTTTGCAGTACTTGTAGTTCTGTCTTTCCAGTGGAGTTTAGTTTCTGTTATACTTCTCTCTTTTGAGGAAAGGAACTGCCTGAAACAAAAGTGAAAAGTTTTGAGCATCTCTGCCTTGTATTTTTTCTTCAGTAGGTAGTTGCAGTGCTTGCTATTCTGCTGGAGATTTTTGTTTCTTTATTTTACAGGAAGTGATGCATGCCCTAAGACAGACTTGGCACACGAGTTGCTTTGTTTGTGCTGCTTGTAAGAAGCCATTTGGGAATAGTCTCTTTCACATGGAAGATGGAGAACCTTACTGTGAGAAAGGTACAGCAAGCTGGATGGTTCTGCTTAGCATTCATGTGCTTCATGTTGTACGGAAGCAACATAAAATAAAGCAGTTGCTGGACAAAATAAAACCAGCTACCCAACCAAGAATGTATTTTGCCTCCACTGTCCACATCTAAAAATGTTTTGTTCTTGGAATTTTTTCTACTTAATGATAGGTTGGCAGAGAGCTGGTCTTTTTGCCCCTATGTACCAGATTGCCTGACTTCATTTATCTCCCTAACCTATTATAACAGTTGGCTCTAATTTCTCTCCCTTCACATTTGCTCCTGTCCCCGTAACTTCCCTGGTATCTTCTGCTCACTAAAAATCTTCCTGTTATTGTGGTGAGAAACTCTTCTGACAGTGCTTCTATACATTATGCGTGGATTGCTGCCCAAATTCTCTCTAAGTTGTTTGATGCTTCTATCCCAACCTAAAAAGATCAATATATGAAAAGATAGCTCTGCTCAGATGTGCAACACATGGTAGTGCAGATTTTGTTTTCTGAGTGCTGCTTCTTGCCAACTAGCAAGGAAAAAGTCAGGATTTCTAAAAATACAGAAGAGGTAAATGTAGTGGCCTGACAAGGTCAGGACGCAGGCAAAGGTTAAACTGCTATTCCCTCGGTAAGCCCGTCCTTGTCCTGTGAATGTGCTTCTGGCTTAGTTTTCTTTGGAAATGCCTTCCTTATGGTTGCAAAAATCAGATTTTCCTGTCATTGTAACTCTTAGAAAATCCTACAGCATGATTGATTTGATATCCTTTAAAATTGCAGTTTTCACCACAGCCTCTAATCACTTTCATTAATTCCATATATAGCTTGAAATTCTGCTTGTCTCTTTCAAGTCATCTGCAAGTTGGACTTGATATTCCAAACAGAGATGTATTATGCAGCAGTTAAGGGGTTTCTATAATATTCTTTATTAATGCAGAAGAACCACAGTATTTCAACATTAAACAAAACTACTCATGGAAACTTAAACAAACGCTTCTAAACATAACTTTGAATGTGATGAATTTTTTAGTGCGTATTCTGTGCTTGTGATGACAACTTGTAGTACTGTACAGCCACAGGGCATTGCACTGAATTTGTATTTAAATAATGGGGGGAAAAAATGCAGCTCGAAAATTCTGTTATGGGAGTGTTTCAATGAATATAGTAAGAAAATCTGAGCAAAAGTAATTAAAAAAATTTATCCTCTGGAAACTTTCTATTTCTTTTGGGTGTAATGTGATTATGCTAAGAGTTTGTTCTAAGTTTGCTTTTTGTTATTTTAGATTACATTGCTTTGTTCAGCACAAAATGCCATGGCTGTGATTTTCCTGTTGAAGCTGGAGATAAATTCATTGAAGCCCTTGGACATACTTGGCATGATACCTGCTTCATTTGTGCTGTAGGTTCTATACCAAATACTATCTCATTTCTTTATGCTTTTATCATAAATTGTTAAGTAACACCAGAAGACCTGGAAGCAGAAACGACTAACGTGTGTCTTGGGATGCAGAGGGATTGAATTTCATTTCTTAGTTACAGATGGAGAGGGATGAGAGTCATTTCTCCTCTGTAAACTTTTATTAGAATTAATAAATTTAACTAGCACAAGCGAATGCTCTTTAATAAATCATACAGTTCTAGAGAGTCTGTATGTACACTTATATCTAGCACTATTTGCTATTAATTTAATATTTACCAGATAAATTAGGATTTAAAATAAATCAATACAGTTGAAGAGTATAGGCATAATCTTAGTTACAAAGCAGTGCAGTTTGCATGTCCATTCAGAATTCTTATTGAAATTTGCAAAAAGGAATCTGTTTAAAGAGAATGAATAGTAATTAATGTAGAAGTTGGTCACACTCATCAGTTGTAGTGTGGCCATATTCCTACACTGCACACAAAGTAGTTAAATGTGTTAAATGATAAGCAGTACTTTTATTACGGTTCCAATACAGTTGTGCTGCTCTCCAACCTCTTATTCATGAGGTAACAGAACCTCTAATTAGCTAAAAAAAATAATATGTTAGCCACACCAGAAGTGACAATTTCTAAGATTTGTTGAACTTTAATATTCAGGTTGAATAGCAGAAAGAATAGAAATATTTATAAATATATTAGGCTACACTGGTTACTGATCCTTTAAGTGCATCTGGAAGTGAGTACCACAAAGGTGTTTTTCTATGCAAACTGAAATATCTTTGAAATTTGAACACAGAAAGCAATACTAAGGCAGCCATTCTCCTTCACAAACCAACAGCTGTTTGTAACTTATAAAAGACACTTTCTCTGTATACTTCCTGTTCTTGTTTTTGCTTTTTCACCTAGCTGCATCCTTATGTATTTATTTTATTAGCAACTCAATTTTGTGCAGAGGTGACATCCTTTTTGTTAATGTATTTCTCTAAGCTGTTTTTGTAGAAGCTAATTTCACCTTTTAGCAGTGAGCTAAAAGTCAAATGCAAGATCTTTTCTGATGTGCTTATCCTCGTATCCATTCACATGGTTTTTCCTTCCCCATGTAGTGGCACATCACTGATGTTATCTCTCGCTGGTCTTAAGCCTGCCATAAGCAGGGACAACATTTACTAGATTCTAATGCACTGACTTCCTTAAGAGGTTTAGCTAACTCTGACCTCACATGTTGTTGTGCTGCCCAGTGTGGATATCAGCACAATTCCAGGAGAGATAAAGCTAATCTAAATCTAGGCTACCTTGCCCTCAGCTATGCATTTTCACACACTTTGCTATGTCAACGCTGGCACTTACGAAGCCAGGCAGTGAACTTAATTCGTTGAAGAATAATCTACAATTTCAATGATACCAGCTGTCTGATTGAGTCATTCCTTGATCACAAAAACACCCAAGTAATAAGAGGAATGAGTATCTGGTGGTGCCACGGCAGGAGGCACACTTGGGACCATGCCGATATAACATCATGCATTGCAAGGATCAGAATCTGGGTCTTGAAGTCTGAGCCACCTGTGTGTGTTTGAGTGTGCCACTAACCAAACCAAGACCTAAACTAACTCTCTCTCTCTCTTCCTCTGTCTCTCTCTAATTATAGGTATGCCATGTGAATTTGGAAGGTCAACCATTCTACTCCAAGAAGGATAAGCCATTGTGCAAGAAGCATGCCCATGCCATCAATGTTTAAAAAGAGCTGGAAATCAGTAATGCTGGGGAAACTGATGACTAAATGAGCAATTATAAAGTTGATAACCATGGCTAGCATTTGTCTTGGTAGAAGCTATAAAGTTGATATTTCTAAAATTTCATTTTAACTCGTTTCTTAGGAGCGGAACATGCTTTTGCATGGTTCATATAAAATGAACAATCAAAACCAAATTAAATACTCCATTTAAGAACAGATTATTAGTGCAGCAGTTTGGAGAAATACTGATTAAAACCTGTGATTTGAAATGTAATACATAAATACAGTTTAAAATGAACTACCCACAGCAGTTTTACTGCTCAGACCACACACTAGTGTTTAAGAATAACAGGAAAAGTCCTGTTATTGTAATTGTAATAACTCATCTCTTGTAATAGCTCATTTTCTTTCATAAAAAGAATGAGTAAGTGCTATACGGACAATAATCAGTAGAACCAAAGGACACAGCTTTCAAAGGGAAATAAATAGGTTAGGGTTTCCTCTATGAAAAGTGTGTGCTATTCCTTTATGTTGTGGTGCTACCTCATAGCATCAAGTATTTTAGATTCTTTCCAAATAAGAAGTTTGCCTTGAATCCATACGTAACTCTGAAGCCTAAGAGACAATGAGTAGCTTAGTTTGAGAATGAAGTGGAAATGGAATTAACTCCTTCCACACTCAATAAGATTGAGGAAAGGTTGGGTCAACCTTGCTAGTGCACTTAGCTTATACGTGAGCAGTAGATACCTCACTTTCAAATCTTAATGGAAAAGGCTAACTGGCTTTGTCCAGCCTGCTCTTAAATTGAATGGAATCAGGCTGGCTGGAAAGGAACTGTGGCTATTGATTCAAAAACAGTTTGCCTTTCCTCTTGTGGGAAAAAAAAAAACAAACCTGAACATTACTTTGGTTTATAATGTCCACTGATATAAAGTGGGAGGTAGGAACCCATTTCTGGATCTTTAACACTGATTAACAGCGAAGACACATTTCTATCTAGTACAGCTGGAAAGTGGGAGATAGCTTGAAAAAGTTGCCAAATCTATCCCACATACATAGAAAAAAGGCACCTTTACTTCTCCTGTGGAATGTAATCAATCAATGTTTTATCAATGTAAATGAATGTTGATAAAAATTCATTGGGCAGCATAACACCACAGACAGATGCTTTTTATTGTTTTCCTCAGTTTAAATAGAACACATTCTACATCGTAGCATTTGCCATTGTAAGACAGAAGCTTTGACACTTCATCTTAGTCCTATTTTTAAATATTTTATAAAAAACTTCGAAGTTGCTCAAGCATTTATAAAACTGTTCTTTTTGTTTGGTTGGTTTGATTTTTTTTGAAAGCAATACTTGTAGTACTAGCAGTGATTTTGAATTCCTAATTTTAAATATCTATTTGTATTGGAGGCAGCAGTTCTGTTGAATAGAAAATGGAGTTATAATGGAAAGCCTAATCAATATTCAAGTTTTATTAATTTGCTTAAATGAAAATTATGATTGTGTATTGATAGCTTGCAGTACTGACAGTTTATAATTCGTATTTCTGAGAGTGAGAATGAGTTCTGTGGGCCACATGCTGGTGCTATCTGCACACTACTGTACCTTGTGTTTTGAGTAGCCGGGAATGACTTGGCATTGTCTGTCTTTTCCCTCCTATAGGTAATGCCAATTCTAAGAACATAGGTGTGTCTTTTTAGTGATGAAAAGCTATCCAAAGCTGTGGGGAGAAATGCGGGGAGGAGGAAATAAAAGAAAAGGGGGGTTAATATGGGAGTTAAATTAGCTGCAGGCAGTCCACATCTTGGAAGAAAATAACAATCATAACTGCCTGTGGCAGTTCAGACATGTATGACCTCTGTTTATTCAGCAGGTATCTTAGTTCTCACTGATCTTAGCAGGGATCTGATCTGAGTGCTTACAGGGTCAGATTTTGAATGCATTCATTATTCTATAACACTACTTCATTATATGCAAAGCTTTTTTTTTTTTTTTTTTTTCCTATAGGAAACAAATTTTCTGTTTTCAGTCAGTGCTGGGCTGATGTAAACGTGGTTCCATTAACTACAAAGCCCAGGTATTTGGCTCATAATGTTCTCCAGAGGAATAAACTATAATCATGGAAGTTAAATACATTTTTTCTCATATTTGATTCATTAAATACCTTTTTATAAGAGTGAGACAATTCTATACTTCCTTTTAATTTTTGAATGCATTGAAGATGCTCCTTGGGCAGACTTCTGTGTTACCCACTGACTGGGACTAGTCTCTTACTGTCAACATCAAACTCTCAAAACAGGGAGTCTGACTCCTTGGCACAACACAGACTGCTAGAGCATATAACACCACAGTAGAATGTCATGATCTAATCTATGTATTTATGTGTGTCTCCCTCTCCACCTTCTCTGTTCCTAAGAGCTCCCTCTTTGCTGGTACTATGAAGAATACAGCATTTTAGGAGATGGTCAGAGATGATTGGCTGCAGCTAACCAGGGGTGTACAGTCTGTGCAGAGAATGTGGTAGGCAGCCAGGCTGGAGCTGCTTCTTTCTTCTCCATATTCACAAGGGACCCCAAGATTGCCAGATGAAGTTGCACAGGACTTCCCATCAGAAGCTCAAGTGGACAAGTATGGGATGTGAAAAGACTTCCATTAGGGGTCTCGGTGTGAGCAGGGGAAGAGAGGTTTGGATCAAAGAGGGCAGAGCACCTGCAGCAGCCAGAATATGGGGGGCTTGAGGGCCTCTGGTATTGTGTAGAAGGGTGAAGCACTGGGGAGGCAGGGGAAGCTGGGGCTGGAGGAGGGAGAGGAGTAGGTAAGGCCAGTTGCACTAAGTTGATATATTAGATACTTTCGTTGAGGCAGAGGGGGAAGCAGAGAATAGCCAGCATGACTTGCTATTGTCAAGGAAAAGGCTTGGCACAGGAAATTGGGGTACAAAGAGCTGACAATAGTCCCAATATATAGTATGAATGTATACAGAATGAGTGAGCAAGGAAGATCCAGGATCCTACCTAGTAGAAGTCAACACTGCAAAAGGGTGAATGCAACATATGTTAGGTATAGCTGAGCTAGCTTGTGCAGTGGCAACTGTGAAAATGCAGCAGCAGAGATTTCAGTGGGAGCTGTACTAACTTGAAGGGGTCCTGAAAATTTCCTTGGACAGGTAATCTGCACTGTAACACATGCCCTGACTCCAGCTGGTGTCTGAGCAAGTGAGATTAAAACTAGTTTACATATCAGTTTATGAGGTACAGTGATATCTCTGAGTGAAAAACAGAGATACCCTGAGGATTATCATGTAATAAATTTCCTGTTTTGACTTGTGCTGCTTCATAATATGGTCCAAAAATAGGGAATCCACTTACCTGCCCTTACATAATTTTTGCACATATCTGAACCAGAAATTTGTGAATAGTAATGTAGAATTTTAACTTTCACAGGGATAGAATCCCACATAACGCTGATACTCTTCTGCTATATGTCACCTTTGTGATATGGAGGAAAGGATGCATACTTATATAATTCAGAACAGGGCCCTTCAACTATCACTGAACATAAATGCTATACAAAAATAGTGTTTGCAGGATGAATAATGTGCACTTGTTTATGTTTTCTGTCTTGTAACAGATGCCTGGGATAAGTCATAAGTTCCTCTAAATATTTATATTAATTAACATGGGACTTTACGTGACAAAACAAAGATCCTGTACCTCTGAATGACCAAATAAGAATACCAGTATTTTGTCTAATACGGTGTTCAGCATCTTTTCAGTCAATGGCTTCAAAAATGACCTTAATGCTTTTTCTCTTTTTCCGCTCTTTTTGCATAAGAGAGTAAAGATTACCAAAGAAGGCCTTGCTTTTATTATCTGAAAAGAAAACCACTCATCTGACTTATTTTTTCTAAGTTAATTTGTAATGTACTGGATTCACATATTGCAATTTTAAACAAGGGAAAATATTTTACTTTGGTCCTTCAGTGGTCAGTACTTTGGGTGAAATGTTTTCTTAAAGACATACTTATGTTTAATAATGTGAACATCCAGCACTGAACACACTCATTAGTGTCTAGTGCTGGGAATGCTAATGTTTATTTGTAATACTTGTCTCCAGGTAGCAGATATTGTTTAGTATTTACAAACATCAGAATTTGAAACTGAGTGATTTCTTGTCTGCAGTGATCATAGAAGCCTAGGTTTTATAATATAATTACATGTTGACTTGATACCACAAGTGCCCTTGCTTTTAGATACATATTTTTCTGAAGTTCTTAGTTAGTTCAGGTCAGAATGCAGCATGGTTTATGAGGTGTGAGTAATTGTACTTTGCATGGATTACCTGTGCCAACATGGATAAAACAGTCTAGTAATAAAATGAATGTACAAATACATTTAAAGCTTTATAGTTTGGACATATTTGTTAATATGGCACATGAACAGCTGACAGCATACACAAGCTTGTATTCTCTACTTCAAACCTGAAAATAAAATTAGAAGCATTGGTTTCAACCTTACTGTGTATCAGTCTTATTAGCTAAATTGTGCTATTTTAAACAAACATTCATATGCTTAAAAGATGTAGTGTACTAACAGTACATGCTGTAACTTAACAAGACTTGTATTCTCAGAGACCTTATCGTGTCAACAAATGCTGTTTATAGCAAGTTTACAAGGAATGGGTAAATTCTGTCTTGGGTTACACAGATGAATCTGAGAACGAAGTTAGATTGCGTGAGTTCTGGTGGATGTTTTTCCATTTCTTAGCAGAAATGACTTTAAATAGTATACAAAGTGTTTTAAATGTTCTCATTGAACTCTAGTGCCAAGTAAGTCCTTCCAAATGAAAGGGTATCTCATACACAGCGTGACTTATTAAAACAGCCATTTTGTGCATTCCTAATCCACACCCCTCAGGCATGCAGTATTTTTAAAGATACAACTAATTACATGAGACATAATTAAGAATTTAGATAATAAATGGACAAACTTGGCTTTAGATGGCATTACAAAGTACAGTACCAGGAATTGCAAATTTGTGAACTTTGGTTTTATTTTACAGCCCTAATTTGTTTACAGTGTGCATAAGGAAAAACAATTCAGAAGAATGAACAGAATGTACGCAGATTGCTGTTAATTTTGAATTGCTCTTTTTCCAGATTGCCTGTGCTGACCTTTAAACTTTGCACTAGACAGTTGTACCATGATCCCTGGAGAGCTGAGCGGTCCTGAGGGGAAGCACTAGAGGTATAACACTCTGCCAGTTAATAGGGTGCAAAAAGTGAACAGAGCAAAGTTCATTAGGAAACACATGGTGCAAAACAGCTTGACAAGTGTTGTGTTAAGAGGTTCTTAATAGAAGAGAGATTATTATTTGCTCAGAAGAAAATGGTGATTTCAAGACTATTGACCTAGGCATTGCTTTTTCCCCTAATTGTGAATCTTAAATTCTGCCAGTTTCTGTTGATTAAAAAAGAAAGGAATGTGTGAATAAGATTGCTGAAGCCATTATTGAATACACAAAGAAATGCTTTGTTCTCTCAGCCAAATTGCGGAGTTACGGATGAGATTCAGATCATATTCAAGCACAGATTTTGTGCTGCATGCATATAAAAAGTCGTTAAAAATACAGTTTCTTCTTAGGAAGATTTTATCAAAATAGTAACAAATGTGTGTTGTATTAACAAGCACTGTCGGGCTAATTTACAAGACTTTTTTTGCGTAAAAAGAATAACCTAATTTTTTTTTTTCATCAAAAATAACCTTTTGAACAAAACTTGTTTCTTCCTTTAAAAGTTTACACATTTTAGCTGTGAGGAAATAATAAATATGCAAAAAATGGAATGTATAAAATATTTTATAGCAGAAGATTAATTATTACTTCAGAATTAAGATTACTTTCCTTAATGACAAAGATGTTAAGGAAATTTTGCTTCTGCTTAGTTTTACCATGTGCAGCGTTAATGAAACAGACCTCAGGTCTTGGTGAGTTTGTGATTTTTTTACAGTTGAATAAAGTCCTTTCAATATCTGTGTAATGAATACATGTCGCTACCAGAAAGCTAAGGACCTTGCTGTTCTTCTGGAATGTTTTATTCTTACAGTGTGGTATAGCAGACGCTCTGGATTTTTAGGAAGCTTAATATTTATTTCATAATCTCAGAGGCTCTCATTTGAGAAGAAATAATTATTTACAGGATTTATTAATTTTAAGATATAATAATACATAGACTGCAATGATAACGTTGGGACCAAGGTTTAGCTTGGTTTAAAGAAACGTTGATCATGATGAATGCATGTATGGAACACATGCATGGATTTGAACAGGAAACTACTCAGAATTGAGCTCTGATTCCCTTGAACTGGATGCATTTTATTTCCGTGGTACTTCATTCTAAATTCTTGGAGTCATAGTCCATTTACAATAGAATCACAGAATCATAGAATCGCTCAGGTTGGAAAAGATCTTTAAGATCATCAAGTCCAACCACAACCTAACCACTCTACCCTAACTCTAACAACTCCCCACTAAATGATGGCCCTGAGCACCACATCCACCTCCTGCTAAGCCTATTCCAGTGCTTAACAACCCGTTCTGTAAAGAAGTTTTTCCTGATATCCAACCTAAACCTCCCCTGGCACAACTTGAGGCCATTAAGGTAGCGTTAATAAGCATTGAACTGAGTGTACTCAGAGACTTTGTTTCTGTTATCAGGTATTTGTGATTTACAGGAGAGCTTCTCCATATTTGTCATAATATGGAAGATGTGGGAACACAAAAAAGGGTGTATTTTCAAACATTTAGCTTCATACAAAAAAAACCCCAACACTTCAGACAACAAAAACTTTGTTTCTGCATTATAAACAAAGACCAAGCATATTATTTCCCAATCACTGTTCTGTACTACCAAATGCCACTGGTAGGCCTGCATCTTCCATAACCTATTTTCTTTGTGGATATTTCTTCCTGTGCTGATTCGGAAGACGTCATAAATTTGCCTATGCTTTCTGCATGTGGGGAAGCTGAACTGAGTTGCTGTTACACATGCTTATAAGCTGTGTAATATTGTGGGGTAGTAAGCAAAATGTGCTTTGAAGCTAGTGTGGGTGTACTCAGCCTATTGCATCCTGGAAATAACAGATTTGCTGAGATTTCTTGTGAATGCACGATATATACAGTACTTGTTGAAAGTTTCTGTTCTACTGGATATATGTTAAGCAAGGTCTTTGCTGCACTACACGAACTTCTGGGCTAAAAGTCCTTGCAAGAAGTGTGGTAACCGTTGTCAGAGAGGTTCAGGTTTTAGTTATCACATCAAACGTTGCATACATGAATCTAAACTCTTCTGGAATACTGACAGAGCACAGTTAGCCTTTGAGACTGTATTCCCAGCGCCAGCTGCTGCAGCAAGAAAAGCAGAACAGAGCTGTAATTTATACGGATTATGATTTTCTGCCATCTGTACTATGTACACCAGTTTTTGGAATGGCAGCTTTTGTGACTTCCCTTTCTTAAGTAAGTCACTCCACTGTGACCCCACTAGCCTGAATTCAAATTTGCAGAACTTATTAGTGCTCATGTTGAAGGACTCTGCTTGTCACTTACTCCCCATGTCACTTACTCAGCTTTTTGTTACACATCTTATGGATTTGAAAGAGTTTTCTGTTGTAATTACACTTATGCACACAACACAGAGATTAAGGTTAGGAGGAACATCCAGAAAGATTAAATTCTTCACAGCGAATACAAAGCACATTTCCCACCTTTTCTAGACTTACCTGGCTGTTGGCTGATGGAGACTTGAGACGGACGGATTTCCTAAACAGTCTCAGAAGCTGCTGTCTGTTCAGAAGCTCCTTCAAAAGAAAGGGTCAATTGTTATTCAAAAGTGGATATCAAAGTCTGGGGGCAGTATACACACTCACAGTCCAGATTTGCACTATTTAGTCCAACTTCAAACAGATTTTTGCTCCTACGCACTTTTTGACATAAAAATGCAAAAAAACCAAAAAAAAAACCAAAAAAAAAAACCCGTAACAAAATGCTGGGATGTTACTAATCCTCCCAAACTCTGGCTAAGACTCCTCATCCCCCTCCAGCTTAGGGAACTGTACTGGTGCAAAAAGATAAAAATTACATTGCTGTGTGCCAGCGTCAGAGAATCTAGCCACAAATACCTGAGGTAAGAAGCTTTTACTCAGCCTATAAGTGAAGTCTTCTGCTTTCCTCTGATCTAATGTCATTTAAAAAAAAAAAAAAAAAACAATCCTTAAGCCAAATATTTATTTTAGACTTTGCATTATTAAGTTCAACTACTTAGAAGTGAGCAACTGTTATCAAAGACAGCATGTGAAAACAGTAAAATGAAATACAAATGTCGGAGTGTGAAAATGCGGAGAGAAAGTTCCATTAGCATTAGATTAACCACAAAATTTACCCTTCCTTTATTCATCACAGGAAAAGTCATTGTAACTTTATTAATGGTGAAAGGTTCAGTCATAGTTCTTCCTAAGGAAATAGGAGCAGTGTATCAGGATATCCTTCTTCCGCCCCGGAGTACCAATACTTTCAATTTTATATACAACGGAAGTAATTAATTGTAACACAAAGAAGCACAGCTGTGGTTCCTGATGGTCACACATGCAATAGCTGCTATTGTTCAGCATTTTGAATATGTGCACTGAGAACCGTTCAACTGCTTTGAATACTTTATACTTTGGGTAGCAGCTTTTGAATTTACAATAGCATTTTAATATGCTACTATCTTAGAGCTGATCCTGCATCCCTAATCAGGTAATTTTTGCCGATGTCAGTGGGAGTTGAAACTGAATTAGGCATAGCTGCCAAATCCAGAGATTTGCAGGCGAAGGCCATTTCTCTTTGGAAGCAGGGGAACTTATAGATTATTATAGATTAGATTATATAATACCAGGATTTGCTTCAGCTGCATGTGTATTTGAGTTTATTCAAGTTCCAGTACATATGCAAGTAACTTTAACACAGAGGGAGAAAAGATTTCTTACTATGCCCTTCATTACACATTTTCAAACACGACGGTTAACTGCTGTGACTGAAATATGAGCATATCCTTTTTCTTTTGGATTCAGCAGACCTATGTTATATTGTTTGCGCTAGAGAATGAAAAAAGAGGTGAATGTTTTGCTGCATTTCTTATCTAACAGCAATGCATTCATGGTTAAAGATATTATTACACTGAGGAACAAAAGTAGGATTTGATTAATTAAAATTATTCGGTTCATTTGTTTTGTATGAGATTCAGATCTATTTTGTTCTAACAACCTTGGAAGAACACTGCATCTTCCGTCTTGTAAATGTCCCTCTTTATAAATCTTGACAGTGCCCACCAGAGCTGCCAGCAACAAAGCTGCCTGAATCCACTCCTCTTGAGAATAAGGCTATTACACATATCGACAGATTTTTTCTTCCTCTGTATTATGAAGAGTTCTCTTTGTTTAACAGCAGACTGGAAAACATTTCCTATTTCAGCATTCAGTTTCTGTTGCTGAAAAGGACAGTCAGTTGTCAAGAAGAGAATTATTTGTTAAAAAGGTTGGAAGCGATGAAGCCTCCACATCAAGAGGAAGAAAAGTTAAGACAGTGTGGTTTGGGATCTAAGGATTACCCAAGCTTGTAAAAGGAATTAATAAATCTCACTTGTAATAAAAAGTGGAGGAACAGAAATATATGTTAGTGTATTACAAATCTTCTAAGAGTGAAGCGGATAATTAAAACTTCCTTATAGATCATTGGGCAGAGCAGAATTAATTCATAGTTAATTGAAACTATCAATTTTAAAACAGCAGTAGAGTCTAACCCTAAATACTTAATCTTGTTAGAGCAAATGAAGACTTCATAGATTTTATTTGCATGCATCTAGGGAAATCATATTACTAAGTCTCCAGCAAACTGATGTGAACAAAGTGCCCAGGTGAAGCTCCTGCTGAGCCTACAAGTACTCTTTTTCTGTAAGACTTTTTATGTTCTTGCTACCCTACGTTGGCTTTAATATACATACATATATATTTGAAATATTTCCTGTATTTATAAGGAAACTTCTCTCAGAGTTTATGATCTGGAGAAAACAGTGCTTTTTGTACATAGGAATCTATTAGAAATAAGACTGTAAAAAGCTCAGCAAGGCATAGAAAGAAAAAACAAACAAACAACAAAGAAAGAGCAAGCAGAAAACGCAATAGGAAATTTGATTCTTGACGGGCAAAATGTTTCCTAAAGCTCTTGTGAAGTCAGGCATAGTTCCCCCATTCCTACAGCCCTTGGCAAGACAGAGTTGTGGTCCCTACTACATGTCTTATTTAGGAATCTGTTCAGCTCCTGCAGCAGCTGCCTGAGTCATATCACAGGTATAGATTGCCTTTGTATCCTCCTTCCTCTCTGTTCACTAGCACGAGGCTAAAGAAGCTGGACTGCAGAAATAATACCAGAATACAACAAGTGCTGCAGCTGCAGAAATGGTTTCCTGTTTCCTTCTGCCTGTGTTCTGCACATTGAGCTGCTGTTCTCTGGAGTCTCTCCATGGTGCTCTGCAGTCCTGCACTGCACTCAGTTCCACATCATGCTTTTTGGGCTGAAGGTTGGCTGAGGCTTGCAACACCGAAAAAATGAAAAATACCTTTGCCTTTTTACTATCAGTGCTTCATTTGTAGATCTTTAAAAAAGAAAAAAAAAGGAAAAAAAAAGGAAAAAAAAAACTTTCCCTCACAGATTTGATTCTACCCTAATTGAATTAACTAAGATTATGTTTAAAACACTTAATAAGATCGGTATCATTTCTAACTAACAGACAGTTCCAATGAATTTATAATCAAAAGAATGTGTTTTCAAGTACAGTAATTCTGAAGAAAAAAGACAAGAATTAATGTAAATAAAATGAAAGGAATGCGTCCCCAACTAAAGGGTAACGTTTGTTTAACACGTAGCGTGAAATATTCACTTTGGTAACAGTAACAGTGAAGAGCTCATTGGCTTTTAAAAACATATTTGGATCACAGATTTTATACGTATGGATTTCAGAGACTGAAGGGAAGAGGAATCACACAAAGATTAAGTCCTATCAGATGGATGACCTTCTACCTATGCATACCTCTCCTAAACATAAGTTTAAGATTCGCAGTTCCCCAGTGATTCCAAGAACTAGAAAGAAATTCCTGGACGGGAAATGACAAAAGAAAGCAGCTGCAAGACTACCCGATTCATGATTTAATATTTTTTTTAATACAGCTCTCTTCATCACGACAGTCTTGAACTGCTCTTTCTGTATTTTATGCTAGGCTTCTACACCCCATCCTGGTCAAGTGGAGAATTAACGTATGTTTATTTTCAAATTCAGACTACAGTGTCTCTGAGTGTTGCTGTATTACCAGGATAAATACTTCATGTTACTAAAACCTGACATGTCCAAGCTTTTGCAGATTGCTAAATCCTGACCAGGTGAGATGTCTGTTACTGATAACTAGCTCACGGGAACACTGCCTCTTTCTGAGTGCCTATCACCTGAAGTGTTCATCTTTGATTTAAACAGGTATCTCTGCCTTTCCTGCAAGGTAAACACGGCAAGTCAAAACAAAACGGGTTCGATTCTTTCTGAGGTTAAGCTTCCACAGTTACTTTCATGAAGGGAAATACAACTGGGTTCTTAAGGCAGCACATCAAGAAAATGCTTCCATCATACCGCATTATCTCACACGTTAGCACTGGTCAACAAACTGCTTCTCACATGCAGACTGCTATATGAATGTAAACAAGGAGTTTTAGTCTAATCATATAGTTTTCATACTTTTGTTGTTAACCCGTGTCTCAAAAAAAGTTTATACCTTATGAAATTGAAACCATACGGTGTATACTGTATGTTTAGAAAAATAAACATAAATACAGTATTTCCATGTGATGTTTCATCAGACAACCAGAACAATACTGTGACGCAAATACCTTTCGAGGTTGTTATGATTCATCATTTTAGATCAAGATTAAGCTGTCTTTTGCAGGTCTGATATTACTAAATTTTTTTTAATTTATTTTATTTTTATTTTATTATTTAAACTGAAATTACTAAAGTTTATTTTTACTGAATTTATTTTGTGATTAAGACTAGTATTTACACAGCCTGATGCTCCTTATTTATGCCATGAATAGGTACATTGGCAGGGTAGAGCAAACCAAATCCTCAGCAACACAATTTCTGATGTGACAGGACTATTGCCTGAGATATATTCAGTGCCCAACTCCTTAAAAAAATACCAGCTAAGAGAGCAGTTTCCGTGATTACTTACAAGAAATTCAATGAAAACAGTTTATCTATTTCATAAGTGAGCTCAAAAACAAATCAAGGCTAATAGCTTTTGCTGAATTCAGGCATGATGGGTTTAAATCACCATCCAACATCTGAAAAATGCAGGACTGTATTACCACACAGATCATTACCAAGAGAGATGCTAGCTCTAACAGCTTTGGTTCTGCTTGGGAGCACACACATGCATGTTGCATTCTTCTTCCATATTGAGTGTCTATTCTGCTGCTACAATCTGATAGTAGACAGAGTGGAGGAACAGCAGACTCATATTTTCCTTTGAAATTATAAACATAAGCATACAAGTTCTGTATTGCTTGGCATGAGCACTGTGATTTTGTCTTTCTTGGCTGTCTTTGTCTTGGACACTGACATTTTTTTTCTGGCTCATCGGAAAAAAATTTTCTACAAGTCTAGTAATGCAAGTCCCACATTTCTTAATGCCTTTCTCTGTAGTATCTGGCCACCTACACTTAGTAGGTGTGCCTTTAATTGCCTGCGTTTTAAAGGAGTCTGCAAAGCAGATAGGTTTGAATGTACTTCCTCTTTTGTTTCACTATATGGGATAGAATGCAAGCTAAGCAGTTGCCTAACAATGCACGTGTACAACACATGTGAACTACATTACTTAGCCAGTGTGTTCATCTTACACACAAATGGGACAACATAAACTCTATATGACACTAGCAGACAAAAATGGAGCTGGACTGTGGAGAGGTCAGCACAACGAGCAAAACAGGGTTTCTCACATCATACATGCATGTGGTTAAGTGAGATTGCTTCCCAATTGGTTACTCTCTAAAAACAGCTTATCTGGGCATGCAGATGGCCTAAGGGGTGTCTTGGTCAATAGCAAAGGGAAAGCGAGCAGGTTTGTGTGGTCATGATTGGCCCTGTGTACAAAGTTCTTGGTGCAGAGCTGTGTAATGGGACCACATCAACATTAGAGTTGCTGCCACTCTGCTGAGTGAAAGGTCCGGCTGCTCATCCCATGGCACAGTGCTACTAAAGCTCCTTCTGCACTGCTGTTGGGAGACAGACAGACAAATTGTTACTTTGGTAATGTGTCCTAATGACGAGGAGCTTGGAAATGCAATGCAAATCATGGCCTTTAGCAATCTTATCAGTGAGAAGCTCGTTGCATAAGTTATGATGTATTCCAATCTAACTAGCCAGCTTTGTTTATTTAAAAAGGAAATGGAAAAAAGCAAACGAACAATTCCGTTCGTTACAACTCTCATCACTCATAAGGCACTGGGATGTCAAGCATTTCAGAACTATTCTTCCACAGAGCTCAAGGACCGGTGTGAGGCCCTCACTTTTCCACAGGCAGCTTCCACCGTCACCCCTCACCTCACCTCCACAGCGCTCCCGGCCGCGCTGCCCCTTGCAGCTCCGCCGCGCCCTCGCGCCTCTCTGGCGCCTCCTACAGGAGCTGCGGCGCCTATTTCACTGGGAAAGCTCTTCTCGACGGTCCTTTCGCGAAGCTTCAGGTGGCGGCTTGCCGCGGCCCGTACTACCGCCCGTGACGGGAGCAACGGGGGAGGAGAAGCGGCCAACTTTTTCCCGCGGCACCCCGCCAGCGCGTCGACGGAATGGCGGTGGAAGCGGGAGGGCTCTGAGGGGCGGCCTCGCGCCTTTCAACGGCAGCCGTCGGCGCCGCCTCCGCCGAGCGCGCGTCCCCGCTCTCCCCCTCCCTTCGCCGTGCGCGCGGCCGGGCTCGGCGGGCGCCGCGATTGGAATCCGGCTCCGGCCCGCCCCGCCCGCTCCGCAGGGACGCGCCGGGTGTCGGGAGCGCCTGCCGGGGAGCGAGCCTGCGCCGAGCCGCCCCGCCCCGCCCTCCTCCTCCCGGCGCTCGGCCGCCTTCGCTCCCGTCTCCCAGGAGCCGTCGGGGTCCCGGGCGCGGCCCGCGTAACGCGGCGGGAGCGGCTCCCTCCTGCTTCGTCTTCTCTCCCGCCGCAGAGGATGAGGAGCCCCCGCGAGCGGTGAGTGCGGGGTCGGGCCGGCCGGGGGGCGAGGAGAGCCGCGCTCCCGCGTTCTACCTTCTCTCAGCCCGCGGGGCTCCGAGCGCCGGGCCCTCGTCCCGCTCTCCCCGTCGGACGCCGGCTCGGGCCGCCTGCCCGAGGCTCTCCGACCCGGCCGCTCGCCCCGCGGGTCGGGCCGATGCTCGGAGACCCGTCTGCGGGCGAAGCACGGGGGCTCTCGGGGCCGCCGGCTTCCTGCGTGGGCACGGGGCCGCCTGCGGGGCCGGGCAGGCCCGGCGCACGCCGCTCTGTCTGGCCGCCTTCTCCCTCCCCCTGCGTCTGCGCCCGCGGTGTTGTAATTCCAGGCGCGGTGCCGAGCCGGCGGCGGAGCGGGGCCTGCGAGCGGCTCCGGGAGGCCGCGGGGGGCGGCACGGCACCGCACGGCACCGCACGCCTGCGGAGCGGGGACTCGCCGCTGCTGGGCGGGAGCGTCCGCTGTCCGGTTCCGGTTACACGCGGCGTTCTCGTACCTGGTGACAAGATGTCCCGAAGAGGTTGAAAAACTTGACTGGCTTTTCGTCGGCCTTTAATCTTCTGTACGACTAAGACTGAATTCGGTATCGAGGTGCGGCGGGAGGCTGTAGCACGTCCGTGAAGCGGTCGTCTGGCCTGTTGTGGTGAAGGCTGTGCGATGGGAAGCCTTCCAGGTGCGGGCTGGTTGTGTGTGGGACCCGTGTTGTGCGTTCCATGAGGACGGTAACAATTTGGTGGATTCCATTTGCAGTCAGCTCCTTGGTGCCTGCCCTCTGTGGGAGTGGAGCAGCTCCTTCTGTGATGGCCTGGGCTGGAACTGTTCCCTCATCCTGGAATGAGGAGCTGCACGAGACCAGTTGATATTCGAATTCGTTATTTCAGCCCATAGTTAGTAAGACACTCGCGTTGTGGTGTTCTGTAGCAGCCTGAAAAAAATACTACTTTTGACGATGTGTGTCCTGTGTGTCTTTACTTTTGTTACTTTCTTATAGGCCTTTCAACACATGTGCTTTGTTGTGTTAGGGTCTGTGTGGTTTATATTTCTGTATGGACACATGCGTGCCCTGCAGGCTCTGAGTGCGGAGATCTGTCAGAGATTTTAATGCATAGCTGTGATCTTCAGCTGCCTGTTCTCTACTTATCCCCTTGGTCACTCTGTTTGCAGACAGTGAATTCATGAGAGCTGATTGGAATTCTTCTCTTCAAAACGAAAAAGATATTATGGTTTGGAAGGCACCTCTGCATGTCACTGGGCCCAGCCCCTACCCAAAGCAGGGAGGTCAGCTATTGGTAAATGGCAAGAAGTAACACAGAACTTGGAATCCACCGGAATCCACCAGTCAAAGAGCGTTCCCTAGTCAAAACGTGGGCTCCAGATTCTGGTGTTCTTGATGCTGGCACTGATGATGGTCACAATGAGAATTGTAAACTTTGTAAGGAGAAACAGAAATACTCAATACAATTGAATAAGTGGTGTATGTGCTTTTTCTGGGTGCCAAAATTTGGGAACTGGGGTTCTAAAGCATAATTAATGTAAGTAGTCATTAACCTATACATAGCAGTTGGCTTACTTTTTGAGCTACTCCAAGTTAGGGTTAACAAAGTTTGGGTCTCATTTAGGTTTGAATGGGGTGCTTTTCAGATGTGCAGTAAGCAGTCTGCTAGCTTCCTTTAGAAAAGACATGTGTTTCCCATAGATGAGTGTTACTGTGATATGAGTTGTCACAAAGCTCTGGACTGCAAGGAGAAAAGCGTTTTGAAGAAACAATAAATAGCTTTGTCAACTTCCTGGAGTCCTGAAAAGCAAGCGGTAGGTGGGTGGCTTAGGTTTTTATTTATTTTTTTCCCTTGGTTTAAAGGTAGGAATTTGTTCTCTGTGAAGCAATTGGGACATAATGTGACTATGCAGTGATAATTAAAAAATAATTAAAAAGAAAACGAAAAAGCTAGAGAAGGACTTGCTAAATATTCACTAAGTTTTATAGTGAGAAACCAGAATAGGCTACATTCACAGCTTAAAAGAAAAGAAATTGTTTTGAAAACAGTGGTGTTAAACACTGAATTAATGGAATCTTTCTTACGTTGCACATCAGTCAGTGTAACTAAGAACTCCTACAACTTTACAGAGAAAAACGAGGCCCACATATGTAACAGATGTGTCATGAGTGTTTCAATAAGTCCCCTTTATTAAAGTGATCAAAGAAGAGATAGTGGTGCTTGCAGTAATTTTGATTTGGCCAAGCTTTCAAAAGCATCAAACTCACCTTCGCCCAAGTCCTTAAAAGCAAGAAACCAACAGAAAAAGGCCAATCACTCTGTTTCTCTTTTGTTTGTCATTGTGGATGGCAACTTCTGTCATGAGGACAGTATCTTCTTCCGGTAAATATCTGACACATAGAGCTTCTGTAGCTTTGGTAAGTGGCTGGAAGGCATGGATGGGCAAACAGACAAGATGGCATATGTAAGGGCACGTACTGCAGATGTATTTCTCCCTTGCTTTTGTCAAGCATCAGACCTTTCTCTGTGAGGTTTTTGGTTCCTCGTTTGAAGGGGGAGGAGGGAACAGAGCATGTCTTCAATGCATGGGTTTTGCTTCACATACCTGAATATTTTCCGTAAATAAATCATGTAAGTATTGCAGTAATGT